CCCTCAGCCGTTGTCTGGGCCATACTGAGGGGCAGGCAAGGGGAGTGACCTCTGTGGGCCATGTGCCAGTGGGCCCCTCCTGGGGTGTGGCTTGGGCAGGTGCCCGGACACACTGGCCCTGGAAGACCTCAACTAGCTTGAGCTAATTATTGGTCTACTTGCAGTAGTGACTTGAGAAGGCGACAGATCCTCTCGGCCGGGGCCTCTGGGACGGAGCGACAGGAATTCTTTCCCCCAGAAACGCGGCTGGTTTCAGAGCCTTCTCAGTCACCATGGCAATGCAGTTTTTGAAACCGGTGACACCAGAGACTTCTCTGAGCAGGCAACTGATGTCCCCCATTAAAAATAACTTAACACCTGTTGCTTCTTCTGTCTGAGGGCTTCTGCTGAGATAATTTTTGATAAGCAGCAGAAGAGCTTGTTTCTGGGCAAGGCATTTTACATCTCTGAAGTCCCATTAGAGGATTGTTCAAGTCCAGAATCTAGATCCTAACCTGAGGCAGGGGTACCCCCCCCCTTTGGGAACAGTGGGCACGTTTGGAATTTGAGTGCCTCATGGGGGCTTTCACATGGGCAGGGGGAGCTGCCCATTCATAAAATTGCTGCCACAGAGGAATCGACAGGTCACCAAGCCCTTATTTCCCAGAAAGCAAGCTAGTGAAAATAAGAGTTGTTTGCCCCAGTTCTAGTCTAACAGTTGGGCAGGGGGCAAGCTCTGGAACACAGAAGGGCTCTTCTGAACCCTTTGCTGACCCTCCCACCTTAATTCCATTTTAAAGAAGAAAAGATGAGCCAGAAAGGGAAGGGAGCCTGGCGAGCATCAAGAGAGTTGACCTGGGACCCCCAAGAGCCACACCGGAGACGCCAGCACTGGAATGATCTTTATGCCCATGAAAGGCAACAGACTGGATTTGCTGCTGGTATTACAGCCAGCTTGTTGCAATGCGACAGGCCAGGCCCATGGGAGGTCCTTTCATGTAGTCTATGAAGATGATCCAGTCCAAATATCTGCTCCAAATCAGGAGCATCCAACACCTCCTAAAATTCTCACGTATTTGTTGAGACACCAAATTCTTAGTCGAGGAGATGGGAGGAACTCAGGAGAGGTTTGCAAAGATCCACTTCTATTATCTGTAATACAGGCAGGCCCCAAGCTGCAAATGTCTTTGTTACAAACAGCCCGTCCTTAGGAACAAACAGCCATAAAACTATTAATTTTAAAAAGTTACTGCAGAAAATCATCATCACCACAGATAGGGGAAGTGAAAGGGGAGAGGGGAAGTCCTCCAAAGCATCACCATAGAGAGAGAGGAAGTGAGCAGGGAGAGAGAGAGGCCTCCAAAGCATGCCTTCTGGCCTGCCCACCTGGAGAGTGAAATCTCTCCACCATGTCATTGCTGCAAAGAGGAGCCCCCCTCATGAGTTAGGGGGCAGGCAGAGATATTTGCAGCTTTTCCACTTTCATAGGGGCCCTGTGTCCCTGACTCCCCTGAAAGTGGAGGGCTCTGACTTATATACACATTGACTTAAAGATGAATTTCAATTTTCTCAAGAACGGGACTTGTTCATAACCTGGAGACTGCCTGCACCTCTGCTCTCTTAGCTCTTTTTTTAAAGCCAGCCACCCCCAAGATGGCACCCTCCAGATGTTTGCGAGCACAACCCCCAATAGCCGCAGTCACCAATTCACATGAATGCTGGAGGTGGCAGACCAAAACACCCTGTCACCCAAGAGGTATTCAGCGTCTGCCTGGGTCCCCACGGGCCATGAAGCTCATGAAGTGCCTTTGCGTCTGTCCCCGACTCTCAGCCTCACCTCCTGCCCAGTTGCAGAGACATCCCAACGGCCCCCAGCTGGGGTGGCCGCACTTGAGAGAACTCCCTGCATAAACAAGGCCGCAGCCATCTGGGGTGCACCAGCCAGCCTGGCCAGGCAATCGTCAGCCCATCTCGAGGCTCCAATTTAGACCAGCACACCCATGTACGAATCTCAGCCTGACCCAGCTGGCTTGCCAAGCCAAACAGAAGGTGCCAGCAGCCTCTCTCTCTCTCTCATTTGCTGTTCTCCAACTCACCCCCTAATTAACTCAGCATTGTTTCTGTTACACACCTTCCTCTGGCAGAGAAACCAGTTTAGCAGACAAAGGACGAAGCTCCAGAAACTGGTGGTCTTTAAGAAATGCGACTGCTTTTCTTGGGGTCGGAATAAGAACAGAAGGGAGCGCCTTTCTTTTGCAAGGAATAACCCAATTATTGCAAGACCTGTTACGCCATTTGCAGCACTGTCGCCATAGCAAAGTGTGCCATCAGTCGCATTTTCCCCAGGACTGGAGCTTTACTTCACACACGCCCAGCACCGCCATTTTGAATACAGCCAAGAGCAAAGGAAGATGGCATGGTGGGGCACCAGCTCCAGGCCCACGGCCCAGCTGGGGCCCATGGATGCGAGTCCCCTGGACCGGCGGCTCCCACTGCAGCCTGCTTCTCTGCCCCGGAGCACGGCCGTGCCGAGGAGGTGCCACGGGGGCCAGGCCGACTCTCTCTCTCTCTCTCTCTTCCTGCCTGCCAGCCAGCCATGCAAGCAGGAGCCAAATTTCAACAACCGACACACAAGCCATTTACAGTCCTTGTGTGCATTACTACGCTGCCTCAGTCCAGCCAAAGGGAGTGAGAGGGGAGGAACTGTACCTTGCAGCAAACTTTCCACGTAGTACCATTAATATGCAGGACAGAAAAACAAGATCCGGTCCCTGCCCCAAGAAGCATGCAGTCTCAACTTCCACAGAGGCAAAGCAACAAGGGAAGGGAGGTGAAACAACGGCAAGAACTGTAGGCAGCATTTAGCTTCATACCATGGCATGCACAGTATATTTAAGCATCTCTGCTCACGCACAAGCAGGGATGCGATCCTGCACATTTGGCAAAATATTGTGGCAGAGCTCAAGGGGTTTGGAATACAGTGGCTCATTATCTCCATCAGGAATTTCTCCATGTTGAGTCTGCCATGTCATCGGAAGTCTCCAAAACAGCCAGCTGAACAACCGTGGGCTGACAGAATTTGGAAGATGAGGATTATGAAGAAACTAACTCAGTACGTGTAGCAGGAGACCTGATTTTGAAACAAGGATGATGGAGCCGTGGTTTCCATTTATTCTCAATGTCAGCCTTGAACCATCAGTCCTTTAAGTGTTGGTCCAATTCCAGCAAAATACAGCTGCCTATTACTTTCTTGATCGATACATGAAAACACACCAAGCAACAAACACGCATATATGCTAAATAACTTGTCATCACTTCCATTAGAGTGTGCATTTCTCCTTAGACCATTTTCCCCACACCCTCCAGCTTCACATCCCATCAGCCCCAGTCAGCCTGGTCAATAACAAGAAATGCTGTGAGCTGCAAGCCAGAAAGTCTGCAGGGCAGCAGGCTGCAGATGTCTTACATGGGTAGGAAATCCCAAATCACCATCCTTCATCTGTTTATTTTGCAAGCTTCTTACAGTATATATTCTGTGTGTGTGTGTGTGTGCGCGCGCGCTTTCCAAATCAAGCACCTTTTTCTTATTTTGTATGCTTCCATTTGCTTATTATATGATGTTTCCAAATGCATTTTTAATCTTTCGGAAACTGCCTAGATTGCTTCTGCTATCGGGTGGTATAGAAATGTAACCATTCAATAAATAAAAATAAACAGTTCATTAGGAGGAGTAGTAGTACCGCAGCAACAACTCACCCTTATCAGTTTCTCTTTGACTTGCACGCACTCCCTGCAGCTCCCACTGACCCCAGCTGGGGAATATGGAAATGTAGGCCATTTTTCCGTGGCGGCTGTGAAACCCAGCACAGCATTTGCGGCCTTCTGCATATCCCAGGCCCCAGAACAACACCGACTTCCTCGCTGCCTCCAGAGGCCCCCAGTATCAGACACGCATCATTTGCGAACTGATGGAGAGGCACCTTCGGGGGCAGCCCGCATGTCACGTGCGCATGGAGAACACGGGGGCCGCTCGGCCAGGCAGAGCGCTGCAGAGCTGGTTCAGCCCAGGCTGGGAAACGCAAGACTCCTTCGGGCGCCGAAGGGAGCATCACTGGCGAAAGTTTGAGGAACGAACGGCTAAAAGCCTGCGATCCCACGCAGGAGAGGAGGCGAGCCATGGCGACTGGCTCAGCTCTTGCCTGGCATTTCAGGGCAGCTTTTAACGTTTTAGCTTTCCCAGGTCACGCACGCACCCCCCAAATCTGGATTTAAGGCCAATTAAGCGGTAGAGGACAGCGATTGGCTGCCTGAAGGCGACCATCCAGAAAGTTGGGGCACCCAAGGAGGCGCGCACGGCCGTGCAAGGGCCGGCGGGAGAGGCGGCCGGCGCAGCTGCCCTCGCCCGCGAGGGAAGGCAGCAGCGAAGGCCGGGCGCGTCGACGCGGGGCAAATGCCCGACCGTCTCCTCCAGCTAAGCGGCCCCGGGCGCCCAGTCCCCGTGGCTGCTCGCCCGGGAGCGAAGCATCGGAGCAGACCGCCTCGCCTCGCACCGCACCGCCGAAGGCGCCCGGCCCGGCGCCTCTGCACGAGCCCCGTCGCGCTCCTCGCGCGGGGGCCGTCGCTTTGGGTCCCGGCGACCCGACCCGCCTTCCGCCCCCCGCCCGTCCCTCACCTGCACGGCCCTGGTGAAGAAAACGCCCGCGTCGGAGGCCAGCTTCTTCATATTGAAGTCCATCTTGAGCCCCCGCAAGCGGGAAGCGGGGAGGAGGCGAGGGAGCGGGAGAGCCCGATGCGGGAGCGATCAGGGCATCCGTGCCCGCTGCTGCCTCTGCCCGCCCGGATCCCGATCCCGCCGCCGCGTCCGCCGCCCACCTGCGCGCCGAGCAGCCGCCGAAGGGCGGAGGCAGCGGGCAGCGGGAGGAGCTCGGCCCGCGGCGCTCCCACCAGCGCCCCCTGGGCGTCCGGGCGGCCTCTCCAGCGCGACGCCCCTGGCGCCGCCGCGGCCTGCGCCTCCGTGGCGAGAAGTCGGGTGCCCCGCAGACTTGTCGGCCGCTGGTGCTCGAAGACACGCTGTGGAGGGAAACGGGAGGAAGGAGGAGGAAAGCGCCGGCGCCCCAGGAGCGAGACGCCCCTCGCTGGGGCCTGTGGCAAGGAGGCCGCCGGTGGCGCAGAGCGCGGCCGCCTCGCCAGACGGGGCAGGATGCTGGTCCTCACGGCGGGGGTAAAGCAGCCGCACCGCAGGGGGCACAGCTCGCCATGGTCCCCGCCCCGCGGGGTTACACGGAAGGAACGACATGGGGAGAGGAGGGGAAAGGCAACTGCGGACAAGCAAAAGGTCCTTGTCCGTTGGTGTGTGGAGGAAGAATGCCCCTTCTCCCACATGCTGCAACAACCCCCCTTGAGGCAGCACATTTTCCCGGTCTGGAAATCAAGTTTAATGGGTAAAGGGGCAGAAAGACCGTCAGCCTTGGGCAGCGTGCAAGTCAGCATACCTCTTCCATTCCAGAACTTTCCCTGCCTGCCAATTAAGCTTCATAGGCGGAAAGGAGGAAGTCCATTGGTGCAAGTTAATTTGGTGGTGGTGTTGTTAATCTCGTGACCCCATGGACAACATTCCTCCAGATCATCCCCTGGAATCCACCCAAGCTCACGCCAACTGCTTCAGTGACTCCATCCAGCCACCTCCTCCTCTGCCGTCCCCTTCTCCTTTTGCCATCTATTGTTCCCAGCATTAGGCTCTTCTTCCTTCTCATTAGGTGGCCAAAGTATTTGAGCTTCATCTTCAGGATCTGGCCTTCTAAAGAGCAGTCAGGGTTGATCTCCTCTAGGACTGACCGGTTTGATCACCTTGTGGTCCAGGGGACTCGCAGGAGGCTCCTCCAGCACCACAATTCAAAGGCCTCGATCCTTCGGCGCTCAGCCTTCCTTATGTTCCAGCTTTCACAGCCATACGTTGCAACTGGGAAAACCATAGCCTTGACTTTAATTTTTTAGGGATGATTTTGAGACAAAATAGATTGGCAAGCAATACTGGGATAAATTCCAGCCATTATTTTTGAGCAGGCACATACAAATTTGAATTAAACAGTCTGTGTCCTCCATGGATCCTGGAGCACTTCCTCCTGAGTCAGACCACCTGCCGTGAGAGCTGCAAGATGCAGGCCAGGTGTCCCCGATTATCCTGGGAGTGACTCTGTTTTGCTCAAGTGCTAAAAAATTTTAAAAAGATCACCATGAGGGAGGTGGAGTGTGAAATGGTGGTGTTGGCAGGGCTGGACTTTAGGCTGCATAAATGATCTTCCAGAGGACAGCAAGCATAGATGAGAACTCAATTTTTCTCCTGTAGTCTTGATAGTGGCATGCTTTGATTGTTAAAGTGCAGAATTACTCTCTGTGTTGGTTTTAAATCAGAGTTAGCAAAATGGTGCTGTCTGCTTTATTGATACTTGTGTCCTGACTTTTCTTCTGGGGATGCTACATGATCTTCTCTCCACCTTATTCTTCCAACAGCCCTATCAGATGGGGTGAGAGTCAGCAATGCTAAGTATTCCTGCTATGGTGCCATACAATTGACAAATCCCAAGAAGCTCTCCATGAAGAGGTGGAGTAGTATCAGCATAATGAAGACCGCATCTTTCAGTGTTACAGCTTGATGGAAGCCATGCGGATCGTTCAAAGGTAAAAGGAATTCAGTGAGGTTACTGCCAGGTAGCTGCATAAACATTTACTTGGGACCAACAAGCACCATTCATCTTAATCCTTTTTACTTTCAAATAAAAACGCACGGGAATGGGGTTGCGTGAATATAATTCTCTAGCGACTTTTTTGAGCTCCCCCAGGGCTTCTCAGTCTTATGTGCATGTTTATCCAATGAAGGAGCGGGTGCCCTACAGTGGAGAGTGTCGGAGCAGAATTGGGAAAATTTGGGGGAAGAACTAGAAAACGGTGGGGTGGGGTGGGGTGGGATAACTAGAAGGATATTTTCTAGTTGGAATGCAGATAAGGTGGTAACCTTATGTTTCTCGTCCCTAGTTTTGCTAATTTCAAAGTTGCTGTTGAGTTGCGAGCCAAAAAGGAGTAGTTTGCCCCTTTAAGACGATCCCCGCCTCCTTTAACGTCACGGCCTATCTAAGCCATTCATCTCTAAGATCGCGTACGAAGGAGAGAACTGGTTTTTGTGTTGTCGTTCAACCGCACTCGGTTTGTATTGCAGCGAGTTAAACTGCTGGGAAAAGCAGGCCCATTGGCCCTTGCAAAGAGTCGAGATACCTTTTTCGCTGGCTGACGTGACTGCCAATCGAAGATTTCCTCACAACATCCCGCCTCCTCCTGGCAACAGTCGGGTTTGGTTGCGAGAGAGCAGGGAAGGAGACGCTGCCCTTCCGAAGCTATGGAGCAGGGATGCGCGGTGAGCTTTCTTGTTCCCCACCCCTTTAATCCGGAGAGTGGTATCGCCCGCTCTGTTTAAGCAGGCGCGTGGTGGCCCCCTTCATTGTGATAGCAGGGGGGAATACCTCTGTACAATGGCCTTTTATTCTAGAGCTAGCCTTCTTGTCAGGCTAGGTAGGTTGCTCACCTGCTGGGCAGGTGTTTTGGGTGAGATTCAGGTAGGAAAGATGGGAGCAGTCGCTTTTTATGGGGGTGGGGGTCATAACCCCGTCTCTGTGACTGCTGCCCCATATCTTAATGCTCTGATCATTGACGTGCCTGCACATGTGAACTGTCATCAGTCTCCATACTTGGAGCTCAGCTCAGTCCCCCCCCCCCAATCTATTACCAATCCTTCCCATTTATTTTGCATTTTAAGGGTAAAAATATTGAAAAGCATTATAAAAACAACGATGACAGTAACAAAAATAAAACATTGAGTTTCCTTTTTATCTTACTTGGGCAATCCTTACATTCAAATTGTTTAATATTCAAATGTGAACCAATTACTTCAGAATCCGTCGTTACTGGTTTTTCGGCGCCAGGTAAAGACCTTTTTATTTAAACATCATTTCAATTGTTAAAACATATGATCTGGCCAGGGCAACTTCTTCTTCCTTCTCTTTCTCCTCCTATATTTTTATTTTATACTGATAATTTTAATTTTATTTTTGTAAATCAATGTATTCTTTGTATTTTTATATTTAATGGTAATTTATTATGTACTATTGTATTTCAATGTGTTTTATCATGTTGTAAGCCGCCCCGAGGTTTCGGCAAGGGGCGGCATAGAAATGCTATAATAATAATAATAATAATAATAATAATAATCCTATGCATGTTTGCACAGAAAGATTCTTGGCATGATTTAAATGCTGCTGCAGAACCAAGAGTGGGGAAAAACAGTTGTGCCAAAAAATGCTTGCCAGTAAAAATTACAAGAAGTAATTGAGATGTTAATTTGGATCCAGATTTAGTCACCGGTAGACTAGAGACCTTGGATTTCAAGTGACTTACAGTGCAGTCTTAAGCATATTTAGGACACGGTTACAACTCCCAGCATGAACTGAACCCTGCTGCACAATGAGGGCAGGGAAAGAGGATTCAATGAGAGTTTGCTTTGACAAGTATTTTTATTATAAAACAACGAGATGAGGGTTTAGATCCAGGTTTAGTCAAGTTTCCTGTGGCAAAGCGAACTTCAGCAGGTGCTTCTTGGATGAGAGGATGTGCTACTAGATTAAATCCTTCTGGTTGACTATTAAGCATGGCCCTCTGTTGCACTTAAAATGTGGCGATCCTGGCCTTTCTATAAAAAGTAAAAATCTGTCTGTCTGAGCAGGGCTTTACAACAGGGAAGGCCAAGATTGCTGGGGTTGGTGGGTGACCTTTGCAATTCTGAAGCTGTTGTGAGCACTCTCACAAAATGGCTGCAGTGGGGGCAGGCTTCCTGGGCGCAGAGTATACGTTCTGCGTGGAGTGCAGCTCCTTGCATAGGCCCAGGGTGAGCCTTGGTGGAGAGCAGGCAGACTTGAGAAGGAAAGAGCCGCAGCATCCACAGAACACGTGCGTTCCTGAATTGTTGCAAACTTATCTTTAAACCTAATGCTGGGATGGGCCCTTGGCATATCCCTGAGGGCAGGGCTTGTTTTTCTCTGTGGGCACATTCAGAACCTCAAGAATGGGTCATGGTCACTTCCAGGCTGCAGTGGGCCTTTTCCCTAGAAGGCAAAGTGGTGTCACTTGTCAAAGAAGTCACTTGTCGAAAGTCTGGATCCAAGGCAGAGGTCAGACCTGAGCTCCAACAGAAAATATAATTTGCTTTGAACCCAAATTAAGATAGTGTGGGAGATAGGCATGCTCAGCCTCCCAATATTAACTAATTAGACATACTTATATAGAGAGACAGATTGAAAATCAGAGGGGACATGGAACCCTTGGAGGGCTAGGAGAGGTGTCTGTCAGTGCCATGTTGGTTTGCAAAATTGACATCATGCCTGAGAGAATATGCTTGGCTTGCTCTCTGCTTGTAGCCAAATGTAGCTGCTGTCCGACCCTTTTGAGGAGGCAAATAGTTGTATTCTGCAAAACTCCCACGATGTGTCGTGGGGAGGGTTGGGGGTGCACTGAGGTTGGTATGAGAAGGCTGATGCACAGTGTTCGGCTTTGCTCAGCTGAGCAGAAGTTGCAGTTTGCTTGTCTATGCAGCAGTTTAGTGGAAGCAATGCAGTTTCAGGTTTGTACTGGAGCATTCTATGTAGAAAAGCTTTTCTGGTCGCGTTAAAGGAGCCAGAAGGGCAGTTTCTGGCACATTCATCTTTTTTTAATTGCAACAGTGGCAAAGTTCTCCGTCTCCCTCTAACTATTGTCCCAAGTTACATGGCAGATGAGTTTGCAGCTTTTCCTGGACCGGACAGTGCTACAGAAAGAAGCAATCTGGTTTTAATTTGCTGTAATGCTCCATCCTTCCACAAGTTTGCAGAGGGATAAAACTGCAGTACCTTTATAATGTTAAAATTGCAATAAACTTGCTAATACAACCCCAGAGAGTTTTGTGAAACCTGCAAGACAGCTAAAGCCTTTCTTGGATGCAGCTGATGATTTTTTTATCCTTCTCCCCATCAGGCGGAGTTTTGGGACCAAGATGCTTTTGGTTGTCCTGTGGGATGACCTGCACGGCGGGTGGGCTGAGGGCAAACGGACTGGTTGTTCCTCCTGGCCTCTTTGTAACTACAACTTCGTATCAGTGGTCTGTGTGCGACCTTATCGTGTGACTTTGTTGTGTGACCTTATTGAGGATGGTGGCACACCCTGTTTCCTGCCTGCCTGTTAGGCTAAACTGGCTGCCTGGGTTATTGATCTCCTAGACGGTTGTTTATCCTAGTTATTTATTTCTGCAGGGTTTTAAAAATCTCTGGTCTAAGCCAAACATGCTCCTGGAACTGCTTACAAATCGGTAAGAAGGCTGTTCCTGTTGCTTGCAGGCTTGTAATCTAATTAGGCACAACACACCAGGAAGAGGAAACTAGTTTAAATCTGCTTGTGGGTCTGGTGGTGCGGGCCCCACTTTTTCTTCATCCGATTTAGCCCAGCCTACTAGCAGTGCTGTTCTTGTAGTCAAACTCTGCCTTGGGAGCACCCCTCGGTGTTGTACGTCCCTGCATGCAGAAAAATAGAAACAGAAAACAGAGTGAGTCAGAAGGGGCCTCCCGGGCCATCGAGTCTGACCTCCGGCACCAGCCAGCTCCACTCACAACATGCCCACCATGTGCATGTCCAGCCTGTCCTTGAACCCCTCACCGGTGGGGCCTCAACGACCTCCCGGGGAAGCCCATTCCACACCCTCGGGGTCCTGACTGTCAGGAAGGGCTTCCTGGCATCCAAACGAAACCTTGGCTCCCTGAGCTTTGCTCCACTGGGGCGTGTCCTGCCTTCCTCTGCAGGGGAGAACAGGCCTCTGCCCACCTCCGTGTGACACCCCCTCACATACCTGCATGTCGCCAAATAGTGTATCATGGAAAAAGCTAGGCTAGACTTCTTCCTTGGAGAAGCTAGTTTTGGGGGCAGGAGCAGTTTAACATCCAGATGGAAATGTAGTAATAAATGAATACAGAATGCAGAGAGGGCTCCGTCCTGGGTGAGTCTGCTGTGCTGCGAGACCCAGTGAGGAGGCGCCTGCAAAGCGACCGTGGCTGGCTGGCTGGCTTTGCCCAGTCCTTTGGAGCCTTTATTGTTTGCTCCTGCTGTCTGGAGGTCATGCTTCGGGACTCCGGCTCCTTTGCTCTCCCAACACGAGGCACAGCAGTGCTGTGCTTGAGCTGATATGCTCTGAAGGTGCCCGGGGTGGGGTGGGATGGGACTACTCTTGTGCTGGTTACTACTATGGTGCACCACCTTTTGGGCCCCATGTGATGTGGGGAAGGAGTGCAGGGTTGTTCTGGATTGCAGTGTGAGGGAATTTGGGGTCTGGGCACCCAGGGATTCACGATCATGGTGTTGTGAATTGGGGCACCGGACTTCAATAATCAGACTTGGTCGAGATGAAATGAGGCCTCTGCTTTTAGTGGGGCATTATTTTGCTTGGGTCAGTGATATCCAGCCAACGTTGGAAGGGTTGCACTCCCCTTAAAATGGGGGTGAGCAAGTTTGGGGGGCTCTGGCACCATTTAAAACCCCCCTTGTTTTAAGCATCGAACCTTCATGGTGTGTCATATTTTCTGGTTTACGTTTTGTTTCTCACTTGTCCAGGGAACTTTGGGCACTGGAGGTGGGAGAGAGATGGATGTAGAAACTATGAAATTAAGTAATGAGAGAAGGGGTGCAATTCTGGCCTTGAGGTGGTGGCAGCCCTGCAAAATGTGGGTGAGGCTGCCAGTGATCTGATAGGGAAGCGTTCTTGTGTGAGTTCCTCATGGCCTTCCCTTTGCTCCTGTGGCTTCCGTGTGGCATACCAAGGTAATCTCGCTGCGGTCAGGGCTGCCGTGTTCTGCCGCAGTGGAACTTCCGTGCGCGGAGGCACTCCTCTCTCACCTGCTCATGGGTTCCTTAGAGGCGCCTGGCTGGCTGGTGCAGGAAAAACAGCTGTGGAACTAGGCAGGCCTTTGGTTTGGCCCAGCCCGGCGTTCTTCTGCCACTCTGTACATGTTCTGGGTGCCAGGAATGGGGAAACAAGTTGGCTCCAGGGCAGGATTGGTCCCCCGACCCTTCTGTGGCCCAGATGACTTTTGGGGGCGAAACTGGTAAGAGGGAGAGGTGTGTAAGGGGAGCCCTCTTGTTTCTGATCTTGGTTGGGGTTAGTGAGGGAATTGCCCTTCCCAGCCCCCTCTGCACCTCTGGCTCCAGGCAAGGAATCGGGCCTGTGGCGTGGCGGGGGCAGGGCTTCACGGAAGGGTCCCAGCCTTAGCGGGTTGGATGGAGACCCTCATCTCTGCTACATGAAAAACCATTCCTTTCTGTGCTACCCTGTGGAGAACCAGTTATGGATCTTGAGGCAAAATACACAAAGTAGGATGCTGGGTCGAATGGGGAAGGAATATCTGGAAGCACACGTGATGGTGCGCAGCAGCCCGGAGCATACTGCTGCACATCTCCCTCGTTTCCCTTATTTAAAAATGGCTGGGGCCTGCTGGGAGCCGTGGGCATCTTTTGATCTAAACCTGCATGGGATTGCATCCTAAACATTTTTAAAGGGGACTGAATGCGGTTTTTAGAATATTATGCAAATGGTTTTGCTTCTCTCAAGTTAACTATGAATTGCATCTGCTTGTTTATGTTATTGCTATTATTCTATCTGGCCTAGGAACGAAATTTCCCACTGGAGATGGTTTGTAGATTCCTGAGGTGCCCACCAAAGCAAAGCTGGATTTCAGAGCAGCCTTTCTGAACAGCAGCCCTTTCCTACACCGTGTTCCAGTGAGCGCCCAGAACCTCGCTCCAAATGGCGTTCCAGAGAACTGAGGGGATGTCCATTATCCAAGCTCTGGCTATGACTGTGGCAGAGATCCCAGTGTTTCTTTACACCACGTTTGGTCAGGTGAACAAACAAAGGTTTAGTCAAAATTCAGGTGTGCAGGATCGTGATGTTCATAGAGTGCAAGTCCAGCCCTCCGAATTTCCTCTGATGGCCATTGCCCTTCCCCAGCTTCTCCCCTCTCCCACAGCCACCCAATTTTTTGGGGTGGGGGGTCCCAACTTCTGTCAGGTTTTTTCCATTCTAAAAATCTGCAATCCCTCTCCTGAGTTACTGGGAGGATGAGCTTTAAGCTAAAATGGAACAATGTTTGCGGTATGTTGGCTCCACCCTCATGCCACTGGAATGTAGCCCCATGGGGCATGCAGATGCCCTCGTGGCACGGAGCATCTAGCCCGAGGTGGACTACATGCCCCCCCCCCCTCCCAGACAGTGATCTGGCCTGATGGAAGAGGGTGTGCTTCCTACAATGGCCGGCCAGCTCCCACGGAAAGCGCAAAAGCCGGCCACGAGTGCAGCAGCACCCTTCCACCCATGTTCTCCAGCATGGTGCCTGTGATTCTGGGGGGAGCATCTTGCCTGCAGGACTACTAGCCACTGAGAACTTTCTCCTCCACAAATTGGCTCAATCACCTCTAACTCTGTACACCTCCAGCTTGTCTTGAACGTCCCCCCCCCCCCCCCCCATGAAGTGGAACAACCCCAGGTGCTGCAGCCCTTCCTTAGTGGGGCACTGCTCCAGCTCCCCAATCGTGCAGCGTGCAGTGCGTGTTTGCAAAGCTCGGCCTTCAGCATCTTCAGCTGAAGTGATCTCCGGGAGGAGAGTTGGGAAAGGCCCTGGCCTCAGGCCATGCTAGTCAAAGCGGGGTGGATTCCAGCATGGTGCAACAGACATCTCTGCTTGGCACCCACTGGGCTTCTTGCACCTCCTGATTTTATTAATATCTATATAAATTTAAACTGGGAAGCTGGCTTCTCACAAAGTGAGTTGTTGCCTGCCAGCCCATCTTGAATCCTGAAGAATGGGAGCATCTTCTGGAGCTCAGCCCCCGCCTCTGAGGACAGTCTTGGTTGGGTTTCTTTTCTTTGAGGCTTGCTCAGGCACCCTCTGGGAAGTGGGCATTGTGTGGCAGAAGTGCCACTGAAGCAGCAGAAGTGCGGATCTGTGGGATAGCCTCTGGCTCTGCTTCCACTTCAGGGTCAGAGTAGCGTTCCTGGATTGCTGTTGAAAACTCCAGCCAGTGATGGCGATAGCAGCGTTTTGGTGACTCTCTTCCCTTCCGCAGTCTGCCTTCTCTCAGCTGAGACTCACCCCAGGCCTGCGCAAGGTGCTCTTTGCCACAGCTCTGGGGACCGTCGCCTTGGCCCTTGCCGCACACCAGCTGAAGCGCCGCCGCCGTCGGAAGAAGCAGCTCGCCCCGGAGAAGGCCGGTGCCAAGCCTACAGCAGTTCCGGTCCCCATCCTGCCGACGAGGCGGGTCCCTTCCGTAAAAAAGGGTGCGCACTCTGTGACTGGTTGTTGTTGGTGTCTGTCACTATGCCCACTGGGGGATGCGGGTGGCAGAATCCCATGACTTGGAGGTGGAGGGCTGAATTTCAGGCTGGAGAAGCTCTTGGGCTGCTTTCTGGCTTTCGCATAAAGCTCTTTATGTATCTACCTGTAGCTCAGCCTTGGAGAGAGATTTCAGCCCTTTAGAATGGGTGGACAAAAACAGGTGCATAAGCCAGGGAATGGGGGAACCCTGGAGGCCCGAGGTCCAACACCCCTGGCTTGTTCATTCATTCAGTTATTGCTTTTATATAACCATTCAACTGCCATACATGGCTTCCAGAGTGGCTTACCAGAAAATCAGGCCCTGAACCTGAGGGCTGGGGTGGGCAGCCTGAGCGAACAAGTAGTGCAGAGCTGAAGACCAGACTGGGAGCCTGAGAGCCGGGGTGAGCCTTTCCTTTGAGCCCGAGGGCTGCATTCTGTGTCTCTCAGCTGCATTCTAGGGAAGGGGAGAAGGAAAAGTGAAGCGGGTGGGACCAAGCCAGCAGCTTAGGATTGGGGTTCTCAGGACCCCTCATAAAGCCTTAGGAGAAGCGTTTCACTCTTTTAGAGGGGCGGCACGTAGAAGGCCTGCACTGAAGCTTGGAAGCCAGCAAATGGCTGGTCCGTTGCGAGGGAGTGCCAGCGGGAGATGGTGCAGAAGGTCAATGCATCCCTTGGTGGCCAGCCCTACTGTAGAGGCAAACCAGGTGGGGAGGAGCAAGCTCCCTGGTCTCCTTCCAAAAGTGCAACTACGGGGGTGGCGAAAGGTAGGGTTTCTTGTGGCCGGTGCTGGCGCCAGGTTCTCGGTGGCCCACCCCAAGGGAGGCCAGGCCAGGCCAGGCCAAGCGGCCATGCTGGCCCGAGCTGCAGCACCTGGAAACACTGTGGGACCAGTGCAGGGAGCACGTGCATCCCGGCTGCTGTGACGTGGGTGCTTCCCCACCTCCCTGGCACTCCCTCGCCACAGCCCCTCTGCAGTGGGGCCTGCCCCTTTCCCGTTGCAGGCTACTCCAGCAGGCGCGTGCAGAGCCCTGGCAGCAAGAGCAACGACACCCTCAGCGGGATCTCCTCCATCGACCCCAGCAAGCACTCCAGCTCCTCACACAGCTTGGCGTCGGTGAGCGGCTCGCTTCTTGTGCTACTGCAGGAGGGGCTCTGGCAAGGGTGAGGTCCATGCTGCACCAGCATTTGCGGAAATGGTAGCTGATGTGCAGAAATGAACAGAGGCCTCCTCTGCGGACTGATGTTGCAAACGTGGTCAGTGCTGGACTGGCACCCCCTGCCATCCTTGCTTGTGATTTGGGGTTGTTCACTTCCAGCTCAGAGTACGGAGCTGGTGTTGTCCTTTCCTCTCCCTTTAAAAAATGGGGCATGGCTTTGTCTGGAAATGGGGGTGGTCCTTCGTGGGTGTATCTGGAGGAGGATGGAGTAGAATCCAGGGGTAGCTGCATGAGATGTGCTCTTCCCTCCTCTGCCCAGCAGCCTCCCATATCTGGCTGGTCAGAAATAAAACAGGCTACCAGGTTTGTTTTCTACAGTTCGAGCAAAGTTTGGACAAGCTCATGCTGGAGATGACATGAGCAGAGCCGGGAATCGGACTGGATGGCCCAGGGCGCCCTTCTGTTTCTGTGTTACATCTTCCCTTTCCTCCACAGAGCTCAGATGTGGCATGCATGGGCTCCATCCTGCCCCACTCCCCAGATCTCGATCCCCCCCCACAACTCTAGCAGGCAGGCTAAACTTCGCAAGAGACCAAGTGAAGCTCATGGCCCAGCAGAGGCTTGTCCCTGGGCCTCCCCCAGTCTTGAGCCAGGCTTCCTGGCCCGGGTGAAGTGTGTGCCTAACTCAAGGGCAGGGTGGCTTTTAATGCTGAGGGCAGACTTAATTATGTGAATTTCATCAAGGCTCTGCTAGGCTATTCTCTCCCCATTCTTTGTGTCTGCCTGTGTTCCCCTGATAAGCAGGGTGATGGGGGTTGCAAGCCCAGATTGAGTCAGCACAGGTGTGCATGGCATGGGGGGAAGGCTGTTGGCTGCAGCCCAGACTTCTCGAAGGGGCATCTTCCAGGTGCGTTGGGGTACAACTTCCATAGATGCGCTGACTTCTTTGGGGACTGTTGCCTTTTCTTAGGTTTGTGGAGGAAAACCACCTTCACCTTCAAAAGAAAGATGGAAGAGTCATTTTCCTTAATGTACCTGACAAAAGACAAGCATCCTCCAACAAAGGAAAGGTCTTTTTCTGAAATGTGCTGGACAGCAACAAACAGTCTCTATAGGCATTTGAATCCCCTTTTTGCTTGCTGTTGTTTTTGTTTTATATACAGTGGTGCCTCAGCTCATGAACGCCTTGGATCACGACCAAATCGGGTCACCAACAAAAATTTCACAAACATTTGACTTAAGTCATGAACGCCGCATTGGGTGGCAACCAAGATCGTGGCCGTCCCTCCATCCCCCGCTGCCCCGCGTGGGATGACGGCCACGATCGCAGTTGCGTTCGTGCAGGGAAGACATGCGTGATCATGGGCACGCTCCTGCAGGAAAGACGGGTGCAATCGTGGCCATCTCCCCCCCCCAACCAGCACGATCGCGGCCATCTCCCCCCTTCCCGAGGGACTATACAAAAACCAAGTGTCCCTAGACCAGGGGTCTCCAACTCAACTGGCCTGGGGGCCGCTGGAAGTCGAGTCTGGGTGAGGCTGGGCCGCATCAAGTCTTCCGCCGCCGCGGTGGGGGTGGGCCGCTTATCCCGCGGCTGGCCCGGGTGCCACCGGCGCTTCGAGGGCCGCAGGGCCCCTCCCCCGTGCCCCTCCCAGCAATTGACCCGCGGGCCACGAGTTTGAGACCCCTGCCATGGACAGATTTTGCACCAAAATTGACCCTGTAGCTAAGAGACAAAGAAGAGAGGAAACCCCGGAAAGAGATCTCCCCAGTGTCCTTATGGAGGGGGACTCTCCCTCAAAACAATAACCTCCCCCCCCCCGCACCTAGGTCAGTCTTCTCCACTGCACTGCAAGTACTTTGTTACTTTGTCACTTTGTTTCAATTTTTTCTGATTAAAAAAATAGTTACAGAATGGATTAACCTTATTTACATTGAACCTTATGGGGAAATTTGACTTGGGTCACAACCAGAGTCGTGGAACGGATTAAGTTCGTGAGCCAAGGTGCCACTGTACATGCCTTCTTCCCTTGTTTTTTCATGGACTACAAATCTGTTAGTGTGGGGGGGCGGTTGGAAATTGGAGTCCAGGGTACCTAGAGGACACCGTGTTGAGAAAGGGTGCATAAGACATCATTTGGCATCTCAAAACAAGTAAATGCTTTCCTCAGCACACTTTTTAAAAGGATTCCATAGCTACAATCAGATTGACAGACGAATAAAACTTAGAGCCAGTGTGGTGTAGGGGTTAAGAGCACAGGGCTGGGTCTCAGGCAATCTTGAGTTCTATTCCCCGCTCGGCCATGGAGCCAAGTGAGTGACTGTGGGCCAGTCACGGACTCTCAGCCCAACCTACCTCACAAGGTTGTTGTTCTGAAGATAAGATTGAGAGGAAGAGGAAAAGCAAGCAAGCTGATTTGAGCTCTTTAGAAAAAAGCAAACAATTAGAATTTCCTAGTCTGAAGGTGGTGCTTCGTTAATGATGGATCATGCTATTGAACTTTATTCGAAACACAGAAGGAGCCTCCCAGGCCATCTAGTCTGACCCCCTGCTCAGCCCGCTGTGCTCTTGACATGCCTACCATGGGCATGTCCAGCCTATCCTTGAACACCCTTGCTGATGGGGCCTCAGCCACCTCCCATGGAGAGCAGCACTGTCTTTGAAGCTTCAGTAGTCTTCAGGGGATCATCAGGAATCAATCTGTACTTAATTGATAAGGGCTTAATCTTTATTCCTTTGAGGATTAATGGCTCTGTTAGTAATATGCTCCTGAGGGCATTCTGCCGCCTTAAAAGCTTTAAGGTGACTGCAGGAGGTTTGTTCATTTCAAACCTTTAAAGAGTTCCCAGCCCATGGGGAGTTTGTTGGGCAACCTCAGCAGCTATTGGCTGGCTGGCGGAGTCTGAAGCTGCATCCCTGGAATTGGTGAGAATCTGCATTTCTCCATCTGGTGTTCCTGGCTGGATAGAATGGGAGCAAAGGGGTCTGTCTCCACTCCTTCATCAGACACAGAGGAAGGTGCAGAATCGACTGGGGGCTGCTTTGTACAGCAGCTTCTCCAAAGTTTTGAAGTAAGCTTTGTTTTGAGGGAGAATCCTGGGTGGGCAGAAAGCAGAGTGGGATGATGAGTTGCAGAAGATCAAGGATTTAATGATATAGCAGCAATGAAGTGACTCTGTCACTTCTGAAAAATTGTACTGCCCAAGTTGAAAACAGTTTGGGGCAAGCAGCAATGGAGTTTTGTGTGGACTGAGCATCAGCTTTGTATAGTTCGGGGGCTCAAAAATCTGGCTCGGAATTTTTAAAATTTGCAGTGTCTTTTGCACTCGGTTCAAGTTAGTGGAGCTCAGAATCTCTAGAAGGAAAACCCTCACAAAGCAGATCCCACAAACCTGAAGTTTTCCCACCTCTGTTGTAAACATTTGTGGTTTTGTTTTTAAACTCCACTTGGATTAAATATCTCTGTATGTCCTTCTGTTTTCTGGATGGCAGACTGCAGTGAAGGAAGACCTTTCCTCTTGTCTGAAGAGCGTTCTCAAAGCTGATATTGCTTGCACCCTGATCCAGTGCAAGCCCTGATGAGTTCAGTGTAGCTTTGTGGCTGAACCATTGATTGTGTTCTCTGAACCCAGCTTTAGATAACCACCCACGGTTCACAGCCCAGCCATTCTTGCTTGTAGTTAGCGGCACTGACAAGCCATGGCTTGTTGGGTTCAGGCAATACAGTAACCCACAGTTCAACAACAGTCTGCACTCAGCCCTAGCATGTGGGTTTTTGTGTTGCCTGAATCAATGAGTCTGTAAATGGCCTAAATCAGACTTTTACAACCTAGTGCCCTTCCCAGCTGTTGGAGCCTGAGCTCTGCTGCTGTAATTTCCTTTTGAAAACCAGCAGGTTAGAGAGAAAGCGAAGCCAACCAGCTTCTGCAGTCCCAGAGAGCCACAGAGGATGCTCCTTGATGTTCACCTGGGACTAACCCCTCTCCCTAATGCAGGGAATCCCCCAAGGCTCACCTGAGCCAAGCCGAGCCCTGCAAAGGAAGTCAAATCAGCAAGGATGTGATAGAAGCAGCTGTGTTGCCCTGAGGGGCAAGAAGGGGATGTCTGACACCCTGTATATGCTTGCTTCCAAACCAAGTGGCCTCTCCAATTGGGCAAATTGCTAGAGAAGAGCTCTGCTCTTTTCTACAGATCGGCTACCTTTTCTGCAAACATTCTGCAATCAAGAACGTTTTTCCACCTGTTAGTCTGCTTTGGTTTGGGCATGGATGGGGGTGCTGTCTACTGTTTCATTCATTGTAATTTCCTTTCTGTGCTGCCCCTTAAGCCCTAGGGGTATGGGTGGGTGTTGCAAAACAAAACTTTACACAATCAATTAAAATTAAGATGGTAAAACGAGATATTAAAAATGCGTTTAAAACAGACTAAAACAAAAATTGTTAGTAAGGTCAAAGACAGCAGCAGTACAAAGATCACAATGCACTAATGTGGTTTTTAAAAGTGAAGTACTAAAGCCGCCATATTTATCTTCTGGTTTGTGTGTGTGTGGGGGGGCAGTGGGGGCCCAGGATAGGCTTGTCCCCAGCTGCAGCTGTTGTGGATCCCTCCGAAGTTGGAGCTGGGACTTGAGACTTTGCAGGGCTCTTCGTGTGCCCTCAGCACCACCACAGTCCTTTCCATGCTGGACTCTGAAGAGGGGACTGTCTTTGGAGCTGACAGGAGGCGCAGGGGGAGGAACTGCTGTCCAGAGAAATCCTGGCAGTGCCTCAGTCTCTCTTCCTCCTGGGGAGGGGGAAGGCAATTAGCCAAACTGGGTTGTTGAGAAGATCTGGGGAGAATGCTCTCCTCCAGGATTTTCCTGCTTTCCATTGGATGCCTGAAGTCTTCCAGCTGCAGAGGGCTAAGGGCTGCAGTGCTGGATGATGCAGTTAGCAAATAGCCCTGGGAAAGGGCCACCTGGTACTGGGAAACCCACAATGTTTGCAGCAGGTTAGCCTCTCTGAAGAGTACATTCCACAAGGGGTGGGGGTGCCACCAGTGAAGAGGCCCCTGCTACACCTCATTCAGCAGTGACTTACAGAGAAGGCCCTTTGTTACTTATCTGTGACTTGCTTCCCTGATAAATGGGTATCGCTGATCAGCAGGTGAGCAGAGGAAAGTGCTTTTCCTGCACAAGGCAGAGAAAAAAGATCCATTTTCTAGTGCTTCCCCCCCTTGCCTTTGATTAGCTGCTGATGGAAGATAAGAGCTTTCCCCAGCAGGGTAGAGGAGGCAGGGTCAGGAAGGAAGCTGCAGAATTAATCAACCCTGAATCTCTGCCCCACTCCACCCATTGCATTTTTATTCTGATCGATAATTGGTGTCCTCCGGTCAGTTTACAAAGATTAAGAAAACTTTAAAATACTTTAAACATAATATTTAAAGCATTCACAAATAAATTTATGCATAAAGCATGTGCTAATGGATGAGGTTTGCTGTGCTTACCTGTGAGTAGACACGCCACTCATGCTTGTTTCAGAGAAGGTGGTTTGAATATGCTGCTTATGCCACAGTTGCTCGTGGGGGTAGCTACCAATGGTGCTTTCCACAAACCTGGAAAAGGTTGCATCGGAGTGAGGAAGAAGGGGGAGCTACTTTCTGATTAGCTGCAGTAAAGCACTGTGCTGAGTGAACCAGTTGGTAAATAGCATTGCGCACTAAATTTCTCTCTCCTTGTTTTACTCTGAAATATTTGGTTCAAGGCAATTTAAAGGTGGAAGTCTGGGATCGGTGGCCTTTGCAGATTCACATGGCATGGCTGAGGCACTTTTCTCCTAGTAAGTGATTGTTCTTTCTGCACCTCTTGCTTGCTAGATGGTGGCCGCAAACTCGTCCAGCCCAACTCCAGCTTCTGCAGCGCCCTGGGAAGCTCGGCTTGTGGAAGACCCTGGAGCTGCTGGGGACTGCAGCGCGGAAAATCTCTACTTTCAAGGTAAGGAGCGCAGACCTTTACATGTGAAGTGAGTTTTGTGCAGCTGGGGAGTATAGCTGCGGTAGTCCCCATAGCCGCACCAAGTCCACAACTATGATGATGATCCCTGTAAGTTAATCAGTCCAGCACTTTTCATCTCCACTGGAAGCTGCTCTTTTTCAAAACCAGGGGATAACTAATGCCCATTCAAGCTCAAGACATCTCAAAATGATATATTGCTTTTGTTGGGGTAATCAGTGTCCCCCTTTTCTGTGAGGCCTGTGGTGGGTCAGAGGGAGCAGGGCTTCCGCTGCGCCACTGCTTTCATGCCGGCAGAGCCGTTGCTGGGTGCGTTCAGTGACTGCGCTTCTGCCGTGTGTCACCATGAGTCAACTTGTAAGGGCAGAGGAGGCTGTCTTGCAACAAGCCAGGGCTGCTGCTGCTGCACAGACTGGAAGTGGAGCCTCCCAGGCCTTGCACGAGGCTTTTCCCAGCCCTGCCTGGGGATGCCAAGGCCAAATGTGGGATGCTCTGCCCCCGAGCTGGGGCCCTTCCATCACTGTGCACGGCACCCTCAAGGCAGGAATAGGCAGAGGAATGGACCGTGTCCTTTGAGGAGCTTACAGTTGCAAGCAGGCTGGCAGAGGGAAGAACGGGAGTGTGGGGAATGGCAGATACGGGTGCCATGCTGTGTATGTTTAGATACAAAAGTCCTATAACTGGCAGCATTTCCCAGCCAGCTGTACTCATGGAGCTGAGGGTGTGATCCTATGCATCCTTAGACAGAAAAAGGCCTAAAAACCTGAGCACGCTTCAGCCCCAAAGGAGCTAGTAGGACTTTTTGTGTGTGTGTGTGTGTCTAAATGTGCATAGGACTGTGCCTTAAAGAGTTTTCGATGATTTGACACAGCAGGAGGTGTTAATTAGTCCTCAAATTGCCCTGTTAGTGGATTCGTTTTCATGAATTCCTCCTGATTGATTTCCCCAGGAAGGAACAACTTAGCAGAAACACCAAGTAGGAAGCTTTTACTTAACACTGATGCTTACTCAGCAGTTCCTGAAAATCGTGTCGCGTGGTCCTAGCCAAGGGAATGAGCATTGCTGTGCAATAACATTCTTTCGTTGGTGGCACCATTTTAACGCTAAAGTAACAAAAAGTCTTGTGCTACTTTAAGGACCAACACCTTTATTCTGGTGCAAGCTTTTGTGGATGCTGCCTGCTTCATTGGATGCATGCATGTTAGTTTTAAATTGACAGCTGCAGCAGCTGTGCTGACTGAATCAAGAAATCATGTCCATGATGGACGTCATTGAATGGTGATGGGTTTACACAAAGGTATTTAAAATACAGAATGACTGACTGGAATTTGTGAGGGCTGTTGCTTCTGCTTGGAAGCATGGTGTGCTCGGGCCCTGATCCTAAAAACGTTTGCCTCCATGGCTTCTTGTGGAGTCTTGGCAGAATGGATAGGCACAAGGCAGGAAGTGCCTGAAGAAAAGGTCTTGTTCTGCTCTTGTTTCTCCTTTGACTGCAAGCAGACATGTTGCCTTTCGGGCTTTCTTGCTTGGACAGGGATGGAGCTGTTTGAGGAGGCCTTGCAGAAGTGGGAGCAAGCCCTAACTGTCCGGCAGAGGGATCGTACTGCCTCTCCCCTCACCTGGGACAACTCCAGAGAACTGGAAATGCTGTCAGAAGGTCTCCTGGAGGTCAGAACTAGCTCTAAAACTGGGTAGGGTGACATTATACCAAGACCAGCGCCCAAAAGGTTGACACAAGAAGTTTTGCCTTGTTTCCCTCTCTGGCTTTGGGCTACATACCCCTCTCCTTTCTGCCTTTTCTTTGTCTCGATTTTCCTCCCCCTATCATGCACTTCCTGTCCACAATCTCTTCAGCCCAGAGGCTTTGAACCACAAGCCATGAGCCAGATCTGGGCTGCCTAGGTTTGTTTATTGATCCTATTTGTATGCCACCCCATAGCCAGAGGTTTCCAGTTTTGCACTCAGTGGTTCCACGGAAGGCCTTACTCCTTTCCCTTCATTCCAGCCCCTCCATTCTGAGGGAGCCACCATGCTGAAAGTTGGACTCCACTTAGGTCTGTGTGGAGGCATCAAAAAAGGGTCCTCTGATAACTTCAGTGATGGGCAACTTGGGGAGATGGGTCTCTTGGGAGTGGTGAGTGATAGAGTCAGCTTTGATCTGTTAAAGCAGATTAAAACATGGGCGGGGAAAACATTTGCCATGGGCAGGCTTTAGAGGGTCATCTGTGACTTTCTTCATGGACAGCCCGGAACAATTGTTTGAAAGCAGCTTGTGCTAGGATATATCACAAAGCCTAGTTTGAGCAGGGTAATGATGGGTGTGATCTGGTAAGTGCTGTGTGTTTTACATAGGAATCTCAGAAAAGAGAGTTTGCAGAGAAATTGGAATCGCTCCTGAACAGGGCGTACAACCTCCAGGAAGAGTTTGGCTCCACCCTTCCCACGGACAGCATGCTGATAGACCTGGGTGAGTAGAGTTGGGGGCCAGCCCTGATGCAGTGGCAGAACTGTTGCCCAGAGCATCTTGCCCAGTAAAGCAGGAGGCTGCTGCTGGGGCGAACCTCTTTCCTCCCGAGAGGCCAAGTCAATATCAGAGAAGCCCTTGCAGGCTGCATTTGTGGGTTGGCTTTCAATCTACACTGCCAGTAACTAGGAGAGGCATTTAGGTCTTTGACAGTGAGGGGTAAGTGTATAAAGGTGGGAAAGCTGTTATCTATTTATTATGTAATGGCTATTATAATAGCCATTGTCCAAGCAAAGAAATGGTTGGGCAATCAACAGATTGTAGGGGAAGCGCAAGAGTGCTAGCTTTGGCCTGTGGCAGCTCACCACTTGCTCTTGTCCTTTTTTTAAAAAACCAATGTGGTGTGTCATAAGTTTTGTAAGCTGCCCTGGAGTCCTAATGACCAAAAGACGGGGTACTGCTCTTGAAATAAATGAGGCTGAAGAATCAGCACCAGTGAGTTTGTGAAGAGGGCTGCCAGTTGCGTGGGTGGTGCTCACACCTCCGCTTTTCTGGCCTTCCCAGAGAGAGCCCTCGCGCTTCCCATGACCGAAGAGTCTCTGGGATGTCGGGTTGATGATGAAGAGGACAGCTTGACCTCTGAGGATTCCTTCTTCTCTGCTGCTGAGGTGACTTCGGCTCAATGAAGCAGGAATTTGCTTCTGTCACCCCTTCCTCACTGGCACATCTGCCACAGAAAATGGCAGTTCTTGAAGCGCGGTGACTTTCGACCTGGTAGCATCGTGTCCCGGGAGGAGAGAGTGTTCTCCCCTTCAGGGCAGCCCCACGAAGAGCACACTGCAGCCACCTGGCCTGGAGTTGGTCAGGGGCCTGGATCAGCATGGCAAGGGCTGATGTAGTCTCAATGACCTTGCCTTAGCCTTCTGCAGTATTTGGTGCCCCTGGCACTAAGGTGGCTGGATTCTTTTCTTGTAGCTGTTTGACTCCTTGCAAGTTGGAGAAATGCCGTTCCAGCTTTCCAAGCCAGCTGCTGCCTATGAAGAAGCCTTACAACTGGTGAAGGAAGGAAGGGTTTTGTGCAGAACTTTCCGGTGAGCGATGGAGCAGCCACGTTCTTCGTCACCCTGTTGTTGAATTTAGACAGTACAACAAGGGGTGCAAGATGCCATCAGGCAGATTCTAGGGGACAGTTTGGGTCTCAAACCACTCAAAATTGCCCACGCCTGGAATAAAGGCTGCTGCAGGGAGGGCTTGAATGGACAACCATCGGCCTCTACTCCTCCTGGGTGAAGAAACTCCTTAGAATCGTCTTGATGAATCCTGCTTCCTCGCAGGAGCGGAAGGGACATGATATGCCATAGGTTCAGCATTTGTCCACTGAATGCCTTAAGATGGGCAGTTGGTATGCGTTGCTGGAATGTTTTTTCCTCTTCCTTGACTTCTAGAACAGAGCTGCTAGGCTGTTACAATGACCATGACTTCCTGGCAAAGCTCCACTGTGTCCGACAAGCTTTTCAGGTAGGTAGATACCTTTTAGAGTCCCTGCAATGCCTTTAATCCCTGTGCCTGGAGGGGTAGCATCATGGCTCAGCAGCAGTGCTCTGTGTGCACCTTTCCCTGGCCTGACTGCGGTACCTGATCCAGGAATGAAAGACTGATCAGTTTTGGGTGGCAAAGTCCATGCGGTAGCCAGTCAGCTGCCTGCAGGAAGCCCAGAAGCAGGACAAGAGCGCAAGATTGCCCTCCTACCCATGTTCCCCAGGGACTGCTCTACAGAGCCACATCATTTCCAATAATAAGGATACTGGCTTAAAAGCACTTTGCTATCTAGGTGCCCAGTTCTTTCAGTCTCTCCTCACAGGGCAGTGTTTCCAAACCCTGGATCATTTTTGTTGCCCTCCGCTGGACTCTTTGGTCTTTGTTTCTCTGTCCAAATACTGAGACATTTTTTCCTCATTGGTTTCTCCACAGGAGCTCCTCCAGGTAGACAGCAATCAGATGTTTTTTGGGGAGGTGGGGAAACGAATGGTGATGGGACTGATCACCAAGGCTGAGAAGGTAAGAGGCTCTTGAGTGGGAAGAGGCAACTTAACTGTAACTCAGAGTACAAACCTTTTTTTTACTGGCAGGGCAGGCATACTGATTTTCTTGTGCTTTCACTGTCTTTTTCCCACAATGCCCCATGCCAGTGGCATATCTGGTCATTTTGGGGAAATTTAAATGACAGCTAGAATGCTTGGATGGGTAGTGGGGGAATATCAAGGGGAGCCTGGAACAGATGTTGGCACTGGGACCAGCTGTTGCAGGGCTGCTCAGAGCACTTCTGTTCCCTGTCGCTTTTGCCAGGTTGTTGGCATACACGGGCCTGCTATTGCTACTGGCCAAGAAATGTGGTGCTGAGGGCCATCCAGTTGACCCCCTTCTGTCCTGCCATCTCTCTCCTTATGGCAAATATGTTGGACCCTGTTTAGCCTGAGGACAGAATTCCATTTCCAAGGGGCTATTGAGTGCCTCATTCCAATGCTGGGCAGGCCTACAGTCAAAATGGGTGAGCCAAAAGTACCAGACGTTTGCGTTTCAAACTCCTACTGCCAATAAGCAAATCTTAGCTTGGGCATTTCAGCTTTTTAGAATGGGTGGGAAAGACTGCACAAAACTTGAGAAATCAGGAAATATTGGCAGTAATGGGAAAGAGGTGTGGCCCCCTGGGAAGCCCCAGGTGGGCTGGATTTTGACCATGGGTCCTGGGGTTCAGTGGCTCTGTGATAAGACAACTCAGCGAATCACTGTGAAAGGTTTACTTGCTGTCCTTTCAAAGCCCCATAGCGGATTCCAAGACCAATTTTTTGTAGCAGTGATGAAATCAATTGTTTCAGCTCTTGGTGGTCTTCTGTATCTCCCCCACCAGAATACCAAAGGGTTCCTGGAAAGCTACGAAGAGATGTTGCGGTACACTTTGAGACAGGAGACGTGGCCAACAACGCAGAAGGAGCTGGAAGGACGTGGGGTTTGTGGAGGCTTTTCTCCTCTTTGAAAGGACATGCACTTTTATTTGGTGGACTGGTGGTTGTGCAGGTTTCTGAAATATCAGACCCAGCTGTTTCCTCAAAGCTGTATCCATTAGCACCCAGCAGCATTCCTGACCAATGGGCCATTCTGACAGACGTGTATGGGAGTGGAAGTCCATGTCTGGAGATCTGCTTGTCTGCAGTAATAGACAAAGTGTAGTGCTATAGTTCACATGGATTTCATACAGAATGTAAAATATAGCATTCTGAACCATGGATTCCAAATGTCTAGATCTCTAAAGAGATACATTGTTACTGATCTGTCTTTATCCATTAAAAACAAAAGTTAGGTCTGATGAATGTAAAGTAGAAAGGCTTGCAAAACTAGAAACAAATGTCCATTGAAATGTCATAACAGGTCAACTTGGATTGCCAGACTTTGGGGTCTCAAACATTGTGACAAGAAGCCCAGGGTGAATTTAAATTGTATCTGGTTGGCCAGTTTAGGATACAGAATGCTGGACTAGAGGCCTTCTGCCCTCACCTGCCTTCTTTCCTACTTTCTGGCCAGGTAGTTTGCATGAGTTTCTTCGACATCGTGTTGGATTTCATCCTTATGGATGCCTTTGAGGACTTGGAGAACCCGCCTTCTTCAGTGCTTGCTGTCCTGCGTAACCGTTGGCTCTCCGACAGCTTCAAAGAGACGGTGTGTCCACTCGACCCCGTCAGCCAGACTGGCTGGGGATGATACATTATGCAGCACCACCTCTGGAGGCCACCAAGTTGGCGAAGGATGACTTGGACTGGAGGTGTCGAACTTCTTTCAGCCTGAGGGCCAAATTCCATCTGGGAGAAGCTCTTGGGTGCTGCATTGCTGGGGTGGGCTGAGACCCCCAGATCCCTGAGGTTTGACAATCCTGGTGAACAGGCTTGAAAACCCGTTCCACGCAATGGAATAACTCACTTATCGCCTTCCTGCTTTCAAAGGGAGATGATTTTTGCTAGAGTGTGTCCCTCTCGTGCATATCTTGGTGGGGGTGTGCATCTGAAGTTAGGTAACTGGTCACCAGCTGTCCAGAAGCAGAGCTGGATGAGGGCCCCATTCTCCAGGAGCTGCTCCAAAGGGAAGCCTGCCCAGCTTGCTAGTTGTGTCAGACCAACACACACATTTTACTAAAGATTCCAGCATATGTTTGCTTTAAAGAGCTTGCTTAGCAGTCTTAAGAGTCATTTCAATCTTGCAGAATAGGTGGAAAAACATGCAAGCAACTAGGAAATCACTAAATGTTTGAGGGAAAGGGAGGGGGCGGGGGCATCTGGATAACTGGCAGGCAGTATTAGGTCCACTGGTTCAACGCTCCTGGAGGGTCCTGGTCACAGCGGTCAAAGTGGATTGATAGATCGCTTCCAAAAACAGGCACTTGACACGGTTCTGTTTTCTTTTTTAAAATGTTAGGCCCTTGCAACAGCCTGCTGGTCAGTTTTGAAAGCCAAGAGGCGACTTCTCATGGTAAGTGCAAGAGGAACACGCAAAGAGGACGGTGAGGCATCTTCCATGCTGCAGAAGCAGATGTAGTCACGTGGAAGGTTAGCTAGGGTCTCTTAGAATCATGTGGTTGGTGCCGATTCTGTCATGTATAGAGTATACCCATTTTCTATTTTTAACCTCCTAGCACCCTATAGCTCAGAGGGTTAAAGCAAATAATATGTTCTATAATAGCTGACCTCACCCCCACCAAAGGATCTGGCCCCCAAAGGACAGGGGATGTGCTTTGAATAAAATGGGCCCTTGAAATGAGTGGGCCTTAAGTTAGTCGTGCCCCATTTTAGTGGGCCTGTTCCAACTCAGTCCAAATCCACCATGGGATTTTGTTTGCTTTTGGCCCATGTCAGACCATGTTTTCGGGCTCTGGCTCACCTGGCGGACCATGTGATGCTTGTACAGAGCCAAGGCAGCATCCGCATGGGATACAGACATGGAATTTGGCTGTCGTACTCATATGGTGCTGAGTGACTTCGGTGGCCTCCCCATCCCAAAGTGCCTTAAAATGTGTAACTGGGGCATGCATATGGAGTGTGCTTTTCCTGAAGTTGAGCCCTGTGCGTGCACAATGGGAGTCTTACGTTGTGGTGCAAATCCCTGCCTTTTCACCCCCTGCTACACTTCAGGTCCCAGATGGGTTCATCTCCCATTTCTACTCCGTATCGGAGCATGTCAGTCCTGTTCTGGCTTTTGGGTTTCTGGGGCCAAAGGAACACCTGGCAGAAGTCTGTGGCTTCTTCAAGGTAAGCACTCTATTTTTTAATTAGGTGAGTTGCTGTAGATAAACTGAAAAAGATCTCAGAGTAATTGTAGACAATAGGCTAAACATGAGTTGTCGATGCGATGCAGCTGCCAAAAGGGCAAATGCTATATTGGGATGCAATAACAGAAGTATTCCTTCCAAATCATGAGAAGTAGTAGTTCCACTATACTGCTCACTAGTCAGACCTTATCTGGAATACTGTGTCCTCTTCTGGGCACCAAGATTTAAGAAAGATGCAGGGAAATTAGAAAGGGTCCAGAGGGCAGCAAAAATTATCCAGGGTTTGGAAACTGCCCTGTGACGAGAGACTGAGAGAACTGGGCATGTTCGGCCTTGAGAAGAGAAGGGGACATGATATCCCTCTATAAGTACCTCAAAGGCTGTCACAAAGAGGAAAGTCAAGATCTCTTCTCGCTGATACCAGAGTATAGGACATGGAATAATCAAGTTGCAACAACCCAGGTTCAGGCTGGACATCAGGAAAAGCTTCCTCACTGTCAGAGCAATACAACTGTGGGACCAGCTGCCTGGAGAGGTGGTCAGCGCTCTCACACTGGGGAAATTCAAAAAGAAACTGGACAGCCCTCTGAGTGGGATGGTGTGACTTGGTGTCCTGCACCAACAGGGGGTTGGACCCGATGGCCTTCATGGCCCCTTCCAACTCTACTTTTCTATGATTCTAACCTTTTCCCATGCAAACTCAGTTTGACAAGTTCTTGGGAGGCTGTGACCTGCCATGGTTCCCCCAACACTCTCTCAACATTCCACTGACCCAGAAATGCTGTGGACCCCAGTTGTTTTATAGAGACACACACCTCCACCTATCTATAATATTTACCTGCATGAATTCCTCATTTTTATTACAAATGCCGTTCTGCTGATCTTTCTCCTCCAGCATCAGATATTGCAATATTTGAAAGACATGTTCGACCTTGACATTGTGAGGTACACAACGGTGCCCTTACTAGCAGAAGACATCCTCCAGCTTTCCCGGCGCCGTAGCGAGATTCTGCTGGCCTACTTGGGGGTTGAGGCGACCCCAGAGATGAATGGGACTGTGCCCAGCAACATCGTCCCCTTGGAGGAAGTCAACTAAGATCGCTTGTGTAGGTTGGGAATCTCCTGGCTTTTCAGAGACAGTCATTTGTTGGGAATGGATTACCGCCACAAGCAAGTGGCTTAATCAGGGAGGGAAAAAACCCCTTCCTGTTTTTCCGTCCCAGGAACATTTTGGGACATTGGCTGACTGCCCAGATGTTCCTAGCTGCATCTGGAGGTTTTGTAGGGAGCATTTGAGGACACTTTGGCTTGCTCTTTGCTCTCCTGTTCACTCTTAATTTTGGTTTTTTAAACTGTAGCATAAGTTGTAAACATCTGGGCTCTGCCCTCTTACTGCCCTCTTACCAGTCTTGCACGGGGTCACTGCACAAGAATTCCCTCCTGTTTAAATGTGTGAGCAGAAAATCAGGGAAGAGTCAGGAGAAATGCATTTCGTTCTGTTTCCTGACTTCTCTTTGATTTAAAAGTGAGAAGTTTCTTGTATGTTTGTAACATTATTCCTTTTGCTGCATCTGTATGTACATTCAGGTTCATCACCTTTTTGTTTGGTTTAAGTGTTATGACTTTTGGTCATGGTAATGCTCTCTTGATTGCACAGGGAGAAATACCCACACACAGACATCTTGCAGCGGGGAGCAATTGTCTCTGTAAAGCACTGCAAAACAGCTTTCTGGATGAGTTGGGCTATGATTTCCACCACTCCCAGCTCACAGGGCTGGCTGGGGCATGCTGGGAGGTGTAGTCTAGCACACCAGGAGGGCACTAGGCTGGGGAAAGAGGCACTAGAAAACACTCTAGTGAAGTGGAGCATTGTGGGGAGCTATGAAGTTTGAGGGGATTGTCCTGCTTGCCAGGATCGGATAAAATCCATTGTCTTCTCCTTCCGTGGCTGCATACAATGCTCTAGAATGTCCAGAGGGTTCTAGATCTGTGCAGAGAGGACTGCACTGGGGGCAAGCTACACATTATCCCTGTAGCTCACTTGTCTGGTGGTGCGCCAGTCTGATGCATCTTGCCAGGGATGCACTGAATCTAATGTGAAGTTTCCACTCCTCACTCTGTTTGTAAACAGCCTTGAGCAAGTGGCAGACCTAGGCATTTTAATGTTTTAAAGTTACAGGCATGGTGACATGTTGCACTGCCCTTAGCATGCATGTTGGCCCTTTTGCTGAGCAAGTAGGTCTAAGCTGGTCCACAGGCTCTGCTTGCTGTGGAGGATCCTAAACGTATGTCTGGCATGCTGCACACCACCCCGTAGGGAAGCTGAGAACGGGGACAGGCCCCTTCTGCCCACACCTTCTTCCCCAGGGACAAAACAGGCAACAGGCTGCTGGGGGGCAGGGGGGTGCAGGAGCAGCTGGCTGCTTGTCCAGCAAGGAGTGCTGGTGAGGACTGGGCCCCTGTGCTTTCGTAAGACTCTGCTGCCCTCTGTGGCCCAATTGTGATGCTGCAGTGCCTCGCACAGCAGACACAGAACCGAACCTGCACATTCTTGCAGAGAGGAGCTTTTTGAATGAACCGTTTGGGGAACTTGTGGGAGAAGCTTGGCATGGGAGTTTCCTCCACAGACACCAGGCTCGGCTATCCTCATGGCATAACATCCGCGGAGGACCACTGGCGGTATGAGGTGCTCTAATCGCCAGTGGGCTCATGGTTTGGTCCCTCCAGACTGATTAGGCACACCTAGGAAGTGCCCCCTAATCCTCTGCAGGGCACAGTGGAAACAGTCTGCAGATTGGTGGGAAAAGGGAAGCGGTTTCAAAGGCAGGAAATTCTGGAAACAGTGATACTGGTTGTGCGAGTTTTATAGCAAGTATGAAGAGGCTGGCTTCACAGGGATGCTTTCCTGCAATGGGTGTTCTGGTGCCTTTTTAGTATTTGCATCTAAGGATCGGCCTCATGCAACCCTCCAGCCTTTAGTACAGACAGTGGCATCTTTTCATGTACACTAAGACAGAAGAGCCTTGTAGTGTGTGTTGTACTCTGGCAAGCAACACAAGGAAATGTGCTGAGCCAAGTGTTACATAAAAGGTAGATTTTAGAGGCCTGGGTGCCCCAGAGAGCTGCTTGTAACAAGCTTTTTAATCTTTTCATGGCAGGAGCCTCTACTTGAAAAAACCCCTGTAAGTTGCATAACTGAAGGCTACAGATAGTGAATGGTTCTGCTCAGGCTGATTGTATGAAACATTGGAAACGGGGGTACGTGGGAGCCGTCTTCCTGCACCTTGTTTAGCAGGAGTGGCTTGGCAGAATTCAGTTACCCTCCAGGTGTTCTGCGTTATGCAGCTCACACCTCCAGTGAGCCTGGGAGCAGTGGAAAACATGGACTCGGCTGGGGAAGTTTCTTCGAGGTAATTTGAGGGAGGAAGACTAGCATTTAGAATGCAGGGCCCCTTTCAGAGGCTAGGAGGATAATCACAGCTCACAGAAGTGACCTTGCTTAAGTGGAAGGAAATCAATCTGATCAGCCTCTTCTTTTTCTGATCAATTACTGTTTTTTCTCATTCAAAAAGCACCACCCTTTGTCCTTGGGTAGCTGGCCCGATGGACAGCCAAACCCTACACATCGGGATTGGGTGGAATGGAAAGCCTGTCAAGACTGCTGGTGAATATGTTTAGCAGGCCATGTTACTAGTTCTCAAAGTTCTTGTGGGATGCTCTGCTGCATAAGCACCTTGAAGCAATCATGGTCCAGTTGTTTATTTTAATGGGGCTTCTTGCTGGATTAGACTCTCTGGCCTCATTTGTGCACATTTTGCTGGCTAAGGCAGCAGTCTGAAGCACATGTAATTAGAAGTAGGTCTTGTTGCAACAAAGAAGCCGAATAAGACACCCAACACTCACCTTTTACTAGCATTTTTTCTTCAGGTCTACGCATATGTAGACATAACAGGGAATCGAAGCATCTTTATGCATGCTATGAACTGAGAAGGAAAAGGAAAAAGAACCTTTCTCTGCTTCAGCCCTTAGCATCATAAATAAGCTGATGTTGGACCTCATTTTACTTTCCTTACTGGTCCAGCCCCATTCCTTTGACTGTAGAATACACAGGTGCAGTTCTTAATCAGGTGACAGCACACACCTGGTGAGCTCACGGCTCTCCCAGATGCCTGATCAGAAATGCTTCCCCTCAGATCTGGCCACTCTGTGAGAATTGCATCATTGGTTCTTGACACAGGCATCGGAAACAGCCTTCCTTAATCTGGTGCTCTCTGGATGCGTTGGATTATAGCTTCTAGCATTCCTGAGCCATGTTGGGGAAGTCAGTCTGACTGCTTTGTCACTCAGAGAACTATGCTGCATCTTTAAATACATTTTTAGCAATCATGAGATGTGGCTGTGGCGCATTTCTCCTGTGCATTTTTCATTCCCTGTTGCTGTCTGGCACACCTCGAGTCCTGTCCACACTGGCCGCAGGAAGAGAAGCGCACAAAGGGACTAGAGAGAAACAGATGGTGGGAGCCATTGGTGGCTGCTGCTCTCAGCTTTGGGATGAATTCAAAGCACAGGGTGGATTTAAAGGGGCAGTCCCCCTGAAGCCCATATTTTTATTTTAATATAAAGGACCTGAAAAGGGTTTTGGGGGTGGGACATCAGCGCTGGGAGAAAGTCCTACCCAACAGAACTATCCCTATCATTCTTCCAGGATCTGTGCCAAGTATAAAGTTGAATGTTTGCTCTAATAGATGGCTTCAAATATGAATAATCCACATGAACAAAAAGATTACTATCCTCAAAGTGGATTTTTGTGCCCCTAGGAAAAAATAGCCATGACTTAGGAAACATTTTCCACATTTCAGGGCTATTTTCAGAATGTGTTTTCTTAAGTTAAACTATTTTGGAAGGAAGTGGGTGTACTGGATTTTAAGTAACTGAGCCACTTACCTGGGGGATCTGGGATTCATTGGGAACACTGTCCAGACAGTGCCTGCACCTTTAATATTTGTTCATGAACATTTGTTAATATCCATAGATCAAGAAACTGTTAAAGCAGCCTTTCCCAATCTGCACTCCCCCCCCCACCAGATGTGATGGAACTTGTAATCCTACACACTTGGAGAGTACAAGACTGGAGAAAGCTGCATTTAAGGAATGGGAAATGCTGTTAACCCTTTGTAAAGGACATTCCTGAGCATTCTGAAATTAATGAATGTAAGTTTTGTGCCTAATTCTTTTCTCCCCTTCCCCCAAGCTGTAAATACTCATCTTTTGTTCATTGCACTGCCTCTCATCCCCTTTGCAATTATAACTTTTGTATCCCATTAGGATTTTTGACATTTAAAAGCAAAGTCAAATAAACATTTCCTTCATTCTCAAACTGCTCTTGAGTGTTTTGTGTGTGTGTCCCCCACGCCCCCCCCCTGCCAGTTTCTGGTTCCGCCTGAAGACATGAGAGATGCCTGAGGCCCATTCACAAGTTGAGGTGTTTAACCAGTTTTAGCCCAAAGGCTGAATGCAGTTCTGAAGTTCCTAGGGGTTGCATTCCAGAGCTGGCAGAGACAAAATATCAGCCTGTTGTAAGTTAAAGCTAAAACTAATTTAAACCCTAACTCACTGACTGAGTTTAGGAGAGAGATTATAACCTATTAGAACAGAAAAGAAAAGCCAGGAACCCTCCATTCAGTCAATTTTCAAGGAGAAGTGGAGATGGGGTAGTGACCATCAGAAACCCCAGATTTGGTCCCTGGATTTGAAATTCAGCTTTCATGTTCTAGAGCAGGGGTCCTCAAACTTTTTGAATAGGGTGCCAGTTGAAAGGTGTCAGGGATGGGCATGGGCTGCCAAGGCGGTGCGGGCAGGGGGTACGGGGGGGGAGCATGCATGTGCATGCATGCAGAAAGGCAGGGGCATGTGTGCGCAGAGATCATTTTCTCCCAACGAGTCCAAAACAATCTCCTTGCGACCTCACCATGCATGTGTGCGCGTGTGGTGAGCTATGGCGGGATTGGATCCAGCCCACGGGCTGTAGCTTGAGGACCCATGTTCTAGAGCAAAGGACAGCAAGCCTTGGCCCAAAGCCACATTTGCATATAGAAATGGTCCTCAAACCTGGGGAAGAATGGTTGTCAAACAGCTGTTCTCAGTCAGTGGGGTTACTGATGGGGTGGGTATCTTGGGAGTCATATGGTAGTTTCTTATGGATTGTTTACTTCTTTCCATGCTAAAGGAAGATTTTCCTCATACCAGTGCTAGGCTGAAAATTTCACCCATAGCTTTTTGTCTGTTGCAGGGTAGGCTGAAAAAACTTGAAGAAAATGCAGTAAATTTAAGGCATTCCCTAAGGTGGCATAGGGTCTTTGACTTTTGGAAACCCCAGAGCACCAGCTGGCCATCTTTTCCAACAGTGTGCCTTCCAAAATGTTGGAAGACAACTCTCAGCATGCTGTGGCAGTAAAACACATCTAGCACTGAATGGCTGCTGTACTGTTCTTTCCAGGGATCCTGCGAGGAAGAAAAAAGCTTACTCTGTTGGCTGTAAAGCTGCAAAAAATGCACCTCTTTTGTAGTGTGTGTGGGAGTCCTTTGAAAGGGAAAGCAAGAGAGATTCCGCCTGGTACTACCTTGTAGCTGGGTGGATCTGCCCGAGTTGAGAGCTGGAACAATTGTGAAGCAGAACATGCGCTTGTGCGTTGTAGGAGGAAACATGAGTTGAGGTCCTCTGGAGAATAAAGACAGGGCTGCAGCTGCTTTTCCTCATGAGCAGAAAGAAGAAAATTAGATAGCCCAAATTAGGCATGAGATCAAGGCACTCAGCGTATCTTTTGTTCGCATATTTTCTCCTTACTTTGTTTTCCTTTCTCCTCTCCAGCTTGGCTTGGCCTTGCCTGTAATTATATTATTATGTATTGAGAACTGCTTTGCAAGAGGAGAGGCTCCTGGGATTCAGTCTGGGGAGAAGAAAGAAGGAAAACAATCCCTTTCCATTGTGCAAAACTTACATGATAATTCTTTCATATGACACACTTTCTTTTTTGTCTTGGTGAATTAATCCTAGGGTCCTTGTCCATCCAGTCTCCTATTTTAGATTCTACATTATACAGGAAAAAGCAAAATCACTTGTTGACTGCAAATATATTGACTGAGTTAAAATTCAGCAGCCCCTCATTCAGGGCATCCTAGAGCAATGCGGTACTTCAAGTCCCATCTTCCTCAGCCAGCATGGCAACTGGTTGGGGATACTATACGCTGTCGTTTAAGATAGAGGGAACCAACTTGGCAGAGGCAAATAAGCCCAGAAGGCACCCCATGAATTCACCTCAGCTATTGTCTTCGTACTGAGGGCCAAACCCCCATTTTGACTCATGATACCCACAATGCACCTCTCCCAGTCAAGCGACCCCTGAGCCCGCCATCCACTCCAGAAGATCTGATTGGCTGACACGGACCACGGAGGGAGGGATGGGAAGAGCAGACGGCGAGAGGGGATCGATACAACTCCATGATTGGCCAGACGGTTAGGCCAATCGCCAAGCACCTCCGCGCCTCCGGACTTTCCTGCCATTGGCCCCCTCGTCTCTACCTGAGCCCCGCCGTGGATTGGACCTGCGGGACTCCTTTCTGATTCGCTCTTGGAGTCCGAGAAAGGGAGGCGGGAGAGTCGGGCGGTCGGGGCGTTGCCGCCTGCGCCGATTGGCCAGCACCTCACCTGCCGAGAGCCGTTATTGGCTGAGCGGTCCGCCTTCGCCCACGCCCGCTCACGCACCGCCCCATTGGCTGAAGCGGCCCGGCCCGGTATCCGGGTAAGATGGCCGCAGTCGGAGAGTGTTCGGTCGCTGTTCCGTGGACCCCGGTTTCCCTTATGCACGTCGAGTATCCGGCAGGTAAAAGCGCCTCGCTCTCTCCGCGCCGGGACGGGCTGCTTTGGAAGCCGGGCCTTGGCTCGAGGGAGGCCCGGAAGAGCTCGATTGGAAGCTGCCAAATAGTGAGCCATCAAGGAGCGGCGTTGGCAGGCGGGCGGCTGCGCATGACAGCCCTGGCTGGCCAGATAGTGAGCCTGGATTGCGCATGCGCGGCACCCTTTGGGTGCTAGTCCAGAAACTGCTGAGCTTGGGGAAGATTCCCTCCACCCCTCCGCTCCTTTGTGTCCCATTGCATCTTGGATCCGTCCCCTCCGTACAGCCTTGACCGAACCTGCTGCCCTCCAGATGTGTCTTATTTATTTATTTATATCATTTAAAAAACCGTATTTTTGCACCCTTTGGTCGAAAAGAAAAGGCTGGCAGAGATCAGAAATAAGGCATTCCGAAAAGGCATAGCACAAAAGGAAAGTGCATCAGGAGGCAGGAGGGAAAAAAGCAAATTCTTTTGCTGGGTTCTGAGTTGCAAAGTTTAGCAAGCCATGGGAGCAGTAGAAAGGATGTGTGGGACTGTAGTTCTTGTCATCTCAAGCAGGCTTGATGACATCTTTTTCCTTAGTCCAAATGCTCTTTTTTCCTCTCATTTAAAAAAATATTTATTATTCAGCTCTTTAGCCTGCTCTCTCTGCAAGGATTACAAACATCAAAAACTAAGGTTTCTAATTTAAAGAAAAGGGGATTGGGTGGGAAGAGTGGGGGGGAAGTAGACTTTTGGCACTGGATTCCTAGTTGCAAAGTTTAGTCATTCATGGGCAACATGAAATGGGTGTGTTGGCTTGCATCTCCCATCATTCCCAGGGAGCTTGGTGATACCTTATGCCTCGTCTCTGATGCTCTGCTCTTCTTTTCCTAAAATATAAAATTCTGCTTGGGATCAGGGAGTGGAGGCTGCTGTCGGGGCCAACTCTGTCTTCCTTGCAGAAAGCGTATTTCTGTCAACTCCAAGGCAAGGAAGTATGTTAAGTCCCATAGCAAAAGGTGTTGCAGGGAGTTCATTTTGTGGATGGTGGAGGCAGATGCTTCTTTAGTCTGCTGTCTTCCCACCACAGTTATGAAATGTAGTTACTAGCCAGGAAAAGTCTGCTTCCCCAAGCCCATAGAAGTGGAACACAGGGTGAGGAAGTTTTTCTCCGACCTGGTGCCTGATGAGTTGGGCTGCAGTTTCTTTCTTTTTGTGGCTGGGCTCCAGGTTGAGGAACATCGTCCTAGCCTGTCATTTTTTCTGATATAACAGATTTTGGAAACTTAACTAAGCTTATGTGTCTGCTCTCCTACCCTGACATATTAGTCCTAGTGGCTGTATGCTACGTTGTGTACCAGAAACAGCATCCCGGTATCCACAGGTTGCTGGGGAAACATAGAAACAGAGCAAGTCAGCAGGGTCCTCCCAGCTCATCTAGTCTGACCCCCGGCTCCAGCCCACTCTGCTCATGACGTGGGTAGGATGCTGCTGCTGTCTTCACCTCCTGCTTTGTGGGTTCCTTTGGGCCTCTGGTTGGCCACTGAGGGAACACAATGCTGAAGTATGTCCCCCAAACAGAAGAACTGCTGTATTTGTGCTTAGTGTTAGACTTGCTTTTTCCAACATCCATGGGACGTGGATTCATTTCTGAATCATACTACTGGTTTCTCATTATAAAATAATTCCAAAGTGGGATATAATTATATATAATTCCACTGACCAAAAAAATCTGTAATCACTCCTGGGAGAATGATGGGAAAGCTCGTTGCAACAGGTCGGGATACTGGATGCTGCCTTATTCAGAGTACTCATGATTTGTCTGCTGGATGATCATGCAAAGCACAGGTTGTTTTGTAAATACATGTTTTGTCATCTCCTCCTTCATTGGTACCCTACCTGTATCTCAAATGGCTTTGCAGTGCTGTAGTGTTTGCACGTGGAGCTGCTTTTCCTTTAAACAACTCTTGCTTGCTGCATCTTGTAGCCTGACAAAACCAACAAACAAACTGTAGTTCTGGGTTTGCATATGTGACAACCCGAGAACAAACCATGGCTTCTCTTCTGGGGATGTTTATGGTTAACACCCCATAGTTAAGCCATGGTTCTAGGATTGCACATAACAACTGAGGAGTCAGCAACCTGAATTGGGTTGTCTGTGCACAAACCAGGTGATAATTACATAGAAACATAGAAACAGAGCGAGTCAGAAGGGACCTCCTGGGCCATTTAGTCTCACCCCCGGCTCCAGCCGGCTCCGCTCACGACATGCCCACCATGTGCATGTCCAGCCTATCTTTGAACACCCTCACTGATGGGGCCTCAACAACCTCTCGTGGAAGCCCATTCCACACCCTTGGGGTCCTGACTGTCAGAAAGTGCTTCCTGGCACCCAAATGGAACCTTGGTTCCCTGAGCTTTGCTCTGTTGGAGCACATCCTGCCTTCCTCTGCAGGGGAGAACAGGCCTCTACCCACCTCCGTGTGACACCCCCTCACATACCTACATGTCACCAACAGACCCCCTCTGAGTCTCCTCTTCTCCATTAACCTGATGCAGCAAGGCACGTGCGCAGGGAACGGCCACATGCCTTTCGGAGCTTTGACTCATTTGGCCTGTCTTGTTGCCAGTGTTTCAGGCACTAGTTCTTTCTGCAGCGATCCGGCTGATTGAACCCAGGAGCTGCTTCATGCCAGAGTGTGGACTTTTTGGCCCTCCCCTTCTAGGAAGCCTACACCAACCCATTCTTTTTGGGTAATCTCCCCGATTAGTCTTAGGGATGGAAACCTGCAGTACATTTTTATCCATGTCGTTTGATGAGTGCCTCTTCCCGCCGCACCCGTTTCATACCTGCAGCAGCCCTGTGCTGATGGGTAGAGCTGATCGTCTAGCAAATGGGGGTAAGGGCAGATCGGACCCGTGTTCATAGCATGGGTCTGCCACTTGATGACTCAGCCTTCCCCAGAAAGGGTCCTGGAATGGCTTGCATGCAGTCAGTGAAACAAGTTTGTCCCTGTTGCTTGCAGGCATAGACTCAAAAGCAATATTCCATGCAAGGAAAAAGGGTCTGGAAGTGAAGAGGGAAAAATGAAATGCTTCAGCAGGCTGGTATTTCACTTCGCATCTTGCTGTGCACAACCTACTACTCCTGACCTGCTGGGAGGAGGAGGATGGGTGTTGTGGTCCAGCAAATCTGGGAGCCAGGTTGGGGAAGGCTTCTCTCACTACGGAATGGCTTGTATCTGCCCCAGTTGTTTTAATATCTCAGTGAAGCCATGCTCATAAATTTGCTTGGGTTTGCCCTGTTGAATTCAGGAGACATGTTTCTAATCAGTGTGTCTTACCAGATACGAGCAGTACACATGCTGCTTCTCCCAAGCAGAGGCTCATGCCTCTGATCTGCGCCTGTGTTGCCAGAGTAGTTTGGATTGAACACACACCTGGCAGGGGAATAGCAACTTTGGATGCTGGAAATATGAGGGATGATTTAATCCCACAGTTTTTAACGTGAACAATTCCATGTTAGGAGAAGCTGTTACAGATGCTCTGCATTGTGCATCTTTAGGGTGTGTGTGTGGGAGAAAGAAATGCCTCCTCCAGGAGCTGATAGTCTAACTCCAAAGCGGTGGCACCGATAAGGAGAGGACAAAAGCAGCAGCAAAAGGTAGATGCGAGTCAGGTGCCACTTGCTTGAGGGGGTACGTGTGTTGCGTGAAAACCAGGGCAGCTTCCCCCAGCCTGTTTCCCTAAGATGCGTTGGGTAGAAGTTTTCTTCATGCTTAGCCAATGGGTGTGATGGGAGGTGTAGTCCTACCCATCCAAAAGACCCAAGTTTTGAGAAGCGAGTTCTGGGAGGGAGTTCCAAGTGTGGAAGAAGTGGGCCACAAAGGAGGACGGCCGTGGCCATTAAGAAAACGGCATTTGTGCGTGTGGAGCCGGTTGATCTGAAGCTGACCTGTATCTGTGCCTGAATGCAAAATGTCTAAGTAACGTAGGGCTGAACTTGCAGCAGTTTCCTTTCTGCTGCCTCAAAGCCAGCGCTCAACCCTCTGCACGCTTCTTCCGCGCAAACGGCCAAAGGGGACAGCTCACACTGGAATTGCGCAGAAGGGTTTCCCAGCAGGGCGTGGTATTTCCAGGCGGAACTGCACCCTGGTGTTATTTTCCTTTCCTAGACACTAAGCACTGTAGGAGTTAGACGCATTGTGGCAATAAAAAAAATCGCATGTATTATTTATCTCTCTTTCACTCTCTCTGCTATCTAGTTCCCTGGTCTCATGTTTCCTGCATGAAGCTGGGATTTCTTTTTGCCTGCAAGCTGGCTGTATTCTAAACCTGTGTGTGTGTGTAGCATCATGATAACATCCGTTACTCCCCATAATTTTGAGTGGAGGTATGAGAGAGAGGATGTGGCTTTCAGGTGGACCAAATCACTGTTCTTTGCTTCCCTCCATTACTAATGGAAGGTTCTGATAATTAAAACTGCCACCAGCACTCGACCTGAGGAGAGACCGCAGTAGCTGAATAACCAGAAAGCCACACCTTCTGAGCTTTGGGATACAGCTTGTGTGTAGGAAGCTCCAGGTTCAGCCCCCAGCATCCTCAGGTAGGGCTGGGAAAGGGACCTCATTCTGTGCCCACTCTCTTCAAGGGGTTTAAATTTAGAGGCCACCTAACTATACTTAACACATTTCCAAGATGCTCTTCCGGGGTATCCTCCGGGCTGGTGTCAGCAGTGGGCATGGGCTGGCACCTGCTGCGAGGCCCCACTGCACGCATAAGAGCCCCAGGGAGAGGATCGTTGCTCCCGCCCCTTGCTTGGAGCTGGGCGACGGTGGCGGTGAGGTGGAGCAGAAGATGCCCCGGCCAGCTCGCTCTCCGGCTCCCCGCCTGCGGGCAAGCATGTGGCAGCCGCGATGAGAGCGAGGAGGAAGAGCGGGAGAAGCCCATGGCCCCGGCAGTGGGGAAGTGGCTGTGCCAGGGGAGGGGCCCAAGCGGCACCTTGCCCGAGGTCCCTCCGCAGCGTGTGCGCCCTGTGCCCCAGGTGCACAGGCTGTGCTTTCGAGGTGTTGCTTTTGCGCCTCGTGGCTCCGGTGGCTCCTGCTGTGTCACGTTGCTTGGGCAGATTGGCAGGGGCGAGCAAGCCAGAAGCCCTCCCACTTACCCCGCTCTTCTCAGCACGCCCCCCCTCCCCCAGGGTGCTTCCCAGGAGTGCCGAGTTCCCGAGAATGCAGATGGGCTCAGAAGGCCAGCTGCTGCAAAAGAAGCCCGGTTTGAATCCAGTAAAAAGACAACAGCCACCCCCAAAACAAAAGACCTGTGGGGAACATTCTAGAGAAAGAACAAAGGCAAGTAGTTGGGCCCCCCTCCCCCCAGAAAAAATAAATGGGGACCTCAAATGTAGCATTCCGATTATGCAAAAATATGCACATTTGCTCATATTGCATTTCCTTTTCTTTATTAATTTGCTCCATTCTCCAGTCAGAACACTGTCTCAGAGAAGCTTACAGAGATGACTAATGATTAATAATAAATAGTTCTTGCCTTCAGGCTCACAGGCTAAAAGGCATGGCACAAAAGAAAAAGGAATTTGAGGGAAGAGGAAAAAAGCAAAGTTCGGGCACCAGTTCTCTTTTTAGAAGTTCTTATAGGTGTCCTCTCACAGGGAAGGGAAAAGTGAGCTCCCTGGAATTCACTGCTGAAAAGCTCATCTTTAGTATCATAAGTACTGGGTGCTTGTTCATTGTTTTTAAATTAAAGCAAGCAGTCTCAAGAGGTTAAATTCTGTGTTCTGTAGATATTTTTCTGCAGCTCTGGTTAGAAGGATCACCCTTGTTCTGGCTCCGTGTGTGTGTGTGTGTGTGTGTGTGTGTGTGTGTGACTTTGTGTTATCTCTTTGGGAATCGTGGGTGGTGCCATCCAGTTGGCATCTTTGGGATCTCCCACAGCACAGTCATTGCAAGCGGAGGCAGGTGGAGAGTTTATTCGGCCCAGATTTGGCTGGCATGCCACCTGTCTCATCCTGGCGTTGTAGCGTGAGTTTCTGCTGAGGCTGGTTAAATTAATTGTTCCCCGCTGTGCGGCCATCTGCTCTGGCTTCCTCATGCAGAACCACGCTCTGTGTGTGTATGTTTTCGTGGAAATTGCATTCTGTTTCTGCTGTTACAACAGGGGCATTCAGGAATCTCCGTGCTGCAGGTCTTCTTCTTCTTCTTCTTCTTCTTCTTCTTCTTATTATTATTATTATTATTATTATTATTATTATAGCATTTCTATGCCGCCCCTTGCCGAAACTTCGGGGCGGCTTACAACATGATAAAATACATTGAAATACAATAGTACATCACCTGGTTCTATCGCTGAGCGTGTTTTAAACTGCTTCTGCAGGATCTGCTGTCCGGCATTCATCACAAGCAGATCAATACGACGAGATACGATCCACGCAACGGCTGCCTTGGCTTTCAGCGATGGGTTGCCAGCATGGGGTTCCCCACCCTGCATCTGCTGTGGTTGGGCAAACCTCCGCTGTTCCCTCCTTCCAGATTAGTAAACCAAACTCTGGAGCAGGGTGCCAAAAGTGCAGCCCCGTTGGACAGACCCTAGCATGGACTGCTGCCGGGGAAAAAGGAGGGGGGCCGGCTCAGGGGTCCGTGCTGCAGGTGACTGGTTCCTTGAGCAAGGGCAGGGTGTCGCGGGCAGCAGCGCTGCAGGATTCTCACCTGCTTCCTTGGGTGTTCTGGGCATCTGGTAGGAATGAGCCTTCTGCGACAGGAACCGTGGGACCACCTTCTGGAGGCTTTTTAGAGGGGAGGGGTGGATCTCCAGTGCCGTGGTGCTCCGGCAAGACAGCGCCGTTGCTGCTGGCGTGACTGGATGTGTGCGCGCCAGTGTGGCACTCCCCGCACTGGCAGGCCCCGGTTGCGGCCAGCCGGACGGCACGCCTGGAGCCGGGCCTTGAGCCTCTCGCTTGGCAGCACGGCCGGAGCAGTGGCCATGGACCTGGTCCGCTCCCGGGAGGAGAGGCCGCTGGGCTCCTGTCGCACTGTGAGCGCACGTGGCAGGGTGGGGCCGATGCGAGGCGACGTCTGGAACGGGGTGGAGAACCGCAGGCCTCCTGGGGTTCCTCACGGGACACATCCCGCTTTTCTGACCCTCCACTCCCCCCCCCGATCGTTTTGTGTGCTCCTGGCTTTTGAGGGGGGCGTTTCCTGCACCCTAGAATAGGCTTCTTTCAAGGGTAATTACTGGCAGTAAATGTTTGGACTAAAATATCCTGGAGATTTTGGTTCTGTTCCTTTTGCCTTCCACAGCATGTGGCCCTTGAAGGCGTCTCCAAAACTCAGTATGTCTCTCAGGCCAGAGGCGTCTCTGCAACCCACTCACTGGATCACTTTCTGGCTTGCCAGTTTCAAACTGATGCTTCCATATTCCACCAGAATAGAGAGCGTCAAACCATGTGACCCCCGAAGTCTTCCACTTTGCTTTTTCAAAAACGGCGGATATCCTGCGCTGACTGATCGCGCAACCGAAGTTGTGCCGCAGGCACACATCCAGCAGGAAATGGTGGTGTCTGAGGTGTCTGTGTAAGAAGGATGTGGCTTGGTCTCCCTTCATCCTTGGGGCATGGTTTCGTATTTTGGCTATACTGCTGTGGTAAACCTCAAGTTTTCCTCTGGCACTTGGAGGATGTAGTGCTTCTTTGCCCTTTCTATCTCTCTGATCTCAAAGTAAACTATTGTTACAATATCAATTACAGTTTTTGCTCCGTGAGAGTCTTGTGCAGTAGGCTAGGCTGAAAGAACAAGGGTTTGTTCCCTAATCACTTGGGGCTGAGCAGGGATCTGTATCCAAGCCTCCCTGGTCTGAGTCCAGTGTCTTAGCTCAGTTTTGTCTGACTGGATGTCCTCCAGATTCGTTGGACAACAACTCCCAGCATTCCCCAGCAAGCCTTTTGGAGAAGCTTTTGGTGGGAGCATTCTGGTGGCAGGAGGGGCTAGAAATACTTGGAACATTTAGCTTGAAGGCAAGCTCTGAAGCATATTGTAACAGGAGAAAAGGCCTACAACTCCCAGCAGAGCTTAGCTGGCTCATGCTTGGAGGGTTAGGCTCTTTCTCTGTCTAAAATCCATTGGCTTGTGCCCTGAAGTTCTTACTGGTAATAACTGGGCCCTAAGAGAAGACCCTCAGCCTTTAAGAATGGGGGCAGGGGGGCTGGCAAAAGCCAGGAAGTGAGCAAACAGTGTTTGGGGCAAGGGGCGTGGCCACCCGGGGACCGGTGGCAGGGGGGTGATGCGCTTCTGTGTTACAGCCAGCGAGACTGAGCATGCTTTGATTTTTTTGTCTCCTGCCCAGGTGATTTCACCGGACATCTTCTTGCCTACGTGAGCCTGGGTCCCATTTTCATCCTTGTCGGTTTCGTCACTCTCATTGTTTTCAAGCGCGAACTCCACACGGTGAGCTTGGCCAGCCAGAAACCCTGATCTTGGGCTCACACCTCTGCACCGCTGCATTTTGCCCCTCCATCCTTCGCTGGTGGCTTTCTTGCCTCAGTCCCCCTGGTATATGCTGGCCTTCCGCAATCTGGACTGCCTCACCTTCTCGGTCCCACAGCAGCCCTTACGCAGATGCAGGAAACCCTGCTGAATGGGGTGGGCTACGGTGTGTATGGGGGGTGTCCCCAAAATTCGGGCAGGAGATTCCTTTCCCTCACAGAAGGTCCATAGCTCTTGTTGAAGACAAATCCTGGATCCAACACTCTGGGTTCAGAGAGAAGGGGGAACCCCCCCTGTTTTTTCCAAGTGAGGCAAAGGGTTGAGCAATGCCAGGCTGGGAAAGCCACAGAGGAGAGTGCGCAGGTGCATGCTGGAGTCAGTCGGCCTCCTGGCTGTGGGTGAATAGCTGCAGCAAGACCGCAGCTGTGAAGGAGAGAGCCAGGCCCGTAGCCGGGGGGAGAGCCGCCTTCCACTCCACAGAAGCGCCAAGCGGCGCGTCACCACCTGCGACACATTCGCAGCAATCGTGGAAGCTGGAGGAGGGCTTCAGGGTCGCCTTTGATTCACGGGGTGCTTGTTCTCTGATCTAAGACCCCTGGCCAAAAGTCCGCTTGTGTGTTTTCCTTGTAAATTCGATTCATTTAGTTTTTGCAAATTGCACCCATTGCGAAGGCGCAGAGGAAGCGGTACGTGGCACCCATTCCTAGAGATGTCTGATCTGGCCACAGGCACTCCTGTCTGTGCTGCTTCCTTTCAGTGCACTCTAATGTGGGACTGTCTCTGAAAACTGTTCAGAAGCTGCTGCCGGTCCAGGATGCCATGGCCAGCACGTTGACCAAGGCACTTACTGTGGCAGCTTCACGGGTTCCCTGTCCGTGTCTAGTTCAGAATGCTGGTAATGATACGGAAATCCCTATACAGGAAGGAACCCGGAAGACTGCCTTCACTCAAGCAAGCTTGCCCAGGTTGGGAGATCTTTGGGAGAGGCCCTTCCTTTGGGGGGTTTTCTTGGTGGCCACCCTCGGGGAGGGAAGCCAGTCTGTCCCCCTCTGCTTTGTCCTTGTTGACAGGCAAAGCCATTCCTGTTCAAGTGCTGCTTCTCATGAAAGCTTGCCTGTTGCTGTGTTTTCAGTGTATTTGTTCTATTGATCTAATCATGTTTTTTGTGTACGATTGCAAGCTGCCACTGGTAGAAAGGTTGGCTTCCAATCAGTCAGTAAATATAGCTGAATAAACTGGGCCTTTGCACCTTGCTTGCTCTGACTGCAAATCTCTTGCCCCTTTGCAGATCTCTTTCTTGGCAGGGCTGTTGGTCAACGAAGGTGTGAACTGGCTGATAAAGAATATTGTCCAGGAGCCTCGGCCTTGTACAGGTGGGGTAGTGCAGGTGGGAAAGGCATGGCTGGTTGTGGACTGGAGGGGGGGGGGGCTACAGGGGCGCCCTCCTTGCCCTCTGCAGGAGTTTTGAGAACTGTCCTGTGTTCACAGAATCATTCACAGAAGTGTTAGTTTTGAGTGTGTCCTTTATGTTCCGTAGACAGCGCAAGCATCTCTAGTGTGGTGCCGACAGCTTTCGGATGCACTCAGCACATTCCCTGCTCCTCCTCATTTTCATTTTATTTCCTAAGATTTCCCCTAAAAAAATGAAACAAAACCAAGCAAGACTGGGAGGCCCCCATGATGAAAACCAAGGGCTGTTTCCCAGCACTTTTGTTTGGGCTCCAGAGAGCGGCTTTGCACTTTGGAGCTCAAACCCCGTCTCTGCCTTGGGCCTTGGTTCCCGGGCAAGGGTCCCTTCTTTCATTCTCCCCGGTCTGCCTTCTGGGAAGTTGACCTTTCGTGAGTGGCAAGACCCCCTGTGGAAGCCCCTTGGTATGAGTGGCTGCAGCAGGCTCTCAGGATTCCCAGTGTGTCCACCACCCAAAATGGTGGTTGGGGGCACCTTTGGGTCAAAATGGAGGAGGGATAATTCCCTCCAGTGACTGTGTTCTTAGCATCCTTCCCCAGCGCTTATCCCAAGCCAATGCGACTGGCGGGGACTAGGGCTTGGAAAGGTACCTCCTGGTCTCCTGCCAGGATCGTGCAGGTGATCCAGCCGCCGCTTGCAGTTCACTAACGGTTGTGCTACCTCCTTCCCTGCAGAAATCCACCCGTCCGTGTATTCAAAGAACGCCATGCCTTCCAGCCATTCCCAGTTTATGTGGTTTTTTGCCATTTACTCTTTCCTCTTCCTCTATTTAAGGTGAGTTGCTTTTCCTTTGCTGTCAGCAAACGTGGTCTTTCAGTCTCGCATGAGGAAAAGGGCCTCTCCCTTGCTCCAGGAGGGACTGATACGTTGTGGAGCCTTTCTGGGAACCTTTCTGAGCAAGGAACAAAATAAAATACTTTAAATCACAATCCTGATCCCTAGTGTTAGATCCAGCAAGTTTAGAATCTGAGCTGTATGCATGCATGCATCTATATGATATAGAAGCCAAGTTTCTTGCTGTCACAAAGGCTGGAAAAACTTGAAAGCTTGTAGGGAGCCTGTGCGGGGCAAGTGCCTTTGTTATGAGGTTGGTGTCTGCGGCATTTGTGCTCTAAGAATCAAGAGAGCAACCTCAAGAGACATTTTACAGTGTTGGGCCTATCCATGTGAAGTGGTCCTTAGACCGTTCTCCCCCCGTGTTGCATGAAGTCAAGCAGGAGGATTCTGTATTTTAGAACGAAAGACTTGGAGTGTGGTGCTGGGGTACTGGAAGGAGCTGGAATATTTTAGATGCTGCTGGGTGGAAGTCTGCTGAATCGTGATTTTGATTCTAGTGCACTCTCTCTGTCTCCGTCTCCCAGGATGCACCAGACCAACAATGCCAGGTTCCTGGACTTGCTGTGGAGACATGTGCTTTCCCTTTGCCTCCTAACAGCGGCCTTTCTCGTCTCCTATAGTAGGTGTGTTGCTTCCTTTTTGATGAATGCTCTGGGGTTCTCGCTTTGAATCGCGCCTCTCCTGCCAACTCCCTGAGTGGCCATTGATCTTGGGCAGTGATCTTGGCAGAGGCAGCCATTCTGGGGAATCAGAATCATGGAACAGTAGAGTGGGAAGGGGCCAGAGGGCCGCTGGGGCAGCCCCCTGCTCAGTGCAGGACTCCTGCTTAAGCCGTCCCTCTCAGGTGGCTCTTCAGTTGGAAAGAGCCTGCGGGCAGGGCTGCCCCCGAGGCCTCTCTTCTGGGAAGGGGTATTGGCGGTGGCCCCTCCCTTCTTGACAACCTTCCTTCTGCTCTGGTGCCCCAGGGTCTACCTGCTCTACCACACCTGGAGTCAAGTCATCTATGGAGGGGTCGTGGGAAGCGTCATGGCTGTGGTTTGGTTCGCCTTCACACAGGAGATCTTAACTCCTTTGTTCCCAAGGATAGCAGCATGGTAGGTGCACCATGCCCTGGGGGGGGGGGGGGGGGTCGCTTTTCAGCGCTGGAACTTAGTTTAAGTTGTCAGCCAACCCAAATCTGTGGCTGCTCGGGTGTCACTTTAGGTCGAAATCAGATCAGAAGTCCTCGCAATAAATGGGCCACAGTGGCTTTCTCGGGCTGCACTGTTGCAGCTGAACTCTCTGCGGGGGGGGGGGGGGGGCGGGGAGCATGTCCGCACACGCGGCTCTCTGCCCGAGCCAGACGGCTGCGCGCAGAGGTGGAGGCGGAGCTGGGCTGCGCCTGGAGCAAGCAGGCGGCTTTAGCGGGAGGCGATGCTGCGAGGCTGCTGCTCCAGCGTTTGCTGTCAAGGCCGTGCTCCCTGCCACTCCTGGCTTTTTATATCTTGCAACGTTTTAGAATTATTTTTGGACAGGGATGGCCCGCGACAAAACAAAGTGCCGCCCCGCGACCCCATCTTTCCTTGGGTTGAAAGAGATTTTGGAGCTCAGATTCCCCCTCTTGGCCAACTGTTAACACTAACAGGACCCCCCCCCCAACCCATGGGCTTCCTTCTAGTCTTACTAGTTTGTCTTCTGGGGAATGTGGGTTTTGTGCCAGCCGCACCGGTGTGTGCAAGGTCTGTCCCTTGGCAGCGGCAGCTCTCCAAATGCCAAACAGAACGCCCTACCCAAAACAGTTGGGGCTCCGCTGAGCGCAGGAAGTGGCTTGGTATGACTCTGGCCCGCTGCGGTTTGTCAGTTTGTCCAGACTGAAAAGCTGCGTGAGGAAGCGTGGCTTGGCAGAAGCCGCCAGCCCCCCTGTCTTTGCGCCAAGTTTGGTTTGGTGCGGGGTGTCAGCGTCGCGATGCATGGTGCCCCTCGGCCCCAGAGCCGGCTTTGCTGGGGCTCAGGGGTGAGCCTGGTTTGCCTTTGTTCATCGCCCCCTCGCGTCATCCGAGTCACGTCCCAAGCAGTCACGAGACTCCAGCCAGCTGATGGGGGGGGGGGGGGAGGGGAGAAGGCGGGAGTCGCGCTCACCCTGTCTCCACAAGGGCGCCGGAACTGGGCCGTGGGAGGTCTTGGACTGTGGGCAGCAGACAGCAGCGAGCTGATGCAGCACCTCTGGGACCTCTTTGGCGAGCGGCTTACGGTTTCCGCAGAAGAGAGCTTGGCCGGATAAGCTTTGCCTGGGGTCCCCTAACTGTTCCATATACAGTGCACCGCCAAACAGGTAATTAGACTGGTCTCCCGCTAATGGCTCTCTCAGTTCCAAATTCTTCAAAATATTTCCTTTCTTGCTCAAGTCATCATAACCATTGCAAATAAAAGCCAAATTGAACTCTCAGTTCTTCTGCTTCATCTGTATTCTCCCCCTTCCCATTTTTCCCTGCCAAACGGTGCCTTTTGTTTGCAGGCCATTAAGTGAATTCTTCTTAATCCGAGACACGAGCCTCATCCCAAATATCCTTTGGTTTGAATACACGGTCACCAGAGCAGAAGCCAGGTGAGTGCTGGGCCTGGTGCCCATCTGCCAGGTGTGGCGAGAGCGCCTGGTCTCTGTGGGGAGGGCCAGGAAGCCACAGCCCGCTTTTCTGATGCTACCCATGGCGTAGTGGCTTCCGCGTGGCTGAAGTGTCTTTCGCACAGCTCACCCACGGGCACAAAAAGCACCAAGAGTCCATCCTGGTATTCCCCCCTTCTGCTCACCGCTGGCATGCAGGCCTGAAAGAGGCTCGATGCCCTGGGTGGGAAGCAACTTGGGACTTTTTTTGACAGAGGCCACCTGCCACAGGCATGGCTGTGAACTGTGCCCCCCAAACGAGAGTTGCCTGAACTGGGTCTCCAAGGCACGCGCTCCCCTTTGGCTGTCTCGGGGCTCTGGAGTCTCGCCTTTCAGTGCAGAGTCGGCTGGCCCCCTTCTTCCAGAGGGGCCCTCTCTCTCCCAGTCACTCTTTTTACAAGGCTGCAGTGGGCCCACGGCTTGGCCAAGACTGGGGGGAGGCCCAGCTTGCTGGCTGGGTTGCTTTGCCTCCAGAACGGAGTGGGGCCTCAGGCTGGGAGGTTCCGCATGCTGCCACGTCTGCTTTGAGTCAGCCGTTTATTTAAGGCCTCTTTTCAGATGGCAGGCCTCATCTTGGTCCAAGTCTGGGGGGAAGGGGCAGGCCCTGAATACCCCCCCCCCACCACCACCGGTCAGCCGCTAACATTTCTGTCCTCTGGTGCTGCAGGAACCGACAGCGGAAGCTGGGGACTAAGCTGCAGTGAACTGGAAGACGCAGAACTGGACCACACGATTCTGTCAAGCGAAGGAGGGCCGGAGCTAGGAGTGGAAGAGAGAGCCTTTTAAGAGACGACGGACCGAAGGGCCTGGCAGGAGGACACCTGCGGACCAGAGGCCTTTCCAGCGAGCCGGATCAACCCTGCTGCATGCTGAGGACCGGCGGGGGCGGAATCCCTTTCTTGCACCGCACCAGGCAGGAACTTGCTCTCACCTGCGGGGCTTGTGCAGGGCATGCGCTGGCGGGTGGCGCCTGCGCCTAACTTTGAGGGTGGGGCCGGGCCGGGGCACATAGCTAGAGTCTTGTCGACAGGAGGGGGCGGGGGGATAAACCATATATAAGCTCTGTGACTTTTTTCTATTGGATTTCCCTTTTGGCAGCATGCGATCTGTACTCTATTTATTTTTTAAATGGACTGTTTGCACAATGGGGGCTGGGCGGAGGGAGGCGGAAGATGCCCTATTTAATCTTGTGTTCGTGGAGGCAGCCGATAAGTCATCGTGTGGGATAATCGAGGAGCAGGGATTCCTGGAGCTAGAAGGGTGGGCTGTAGGAGGTCTTTTTCCTTCTGGGTTTTCAATTTTCCATGACTGTTTGAGGCATTTGGGTCATTCCCAATGACACTTTCTATCAGTTTCCACAGAAACTTGCTTCAAGGATTGCTGTTGACACTAGCTGTGTTTTGGCACACACAGCAAAAGGGGGATTAGTCGAAAGTGCACACGGTCGGGTCAACACAATGGCAAAAATGCCCCCTCTTTGGTAGACCTTTTATATTATTTTTCCTACTTCAGATTCTCGTCCAAATGGTTTGCTTTACTAGGGACCACTTCTTTTTTCTGAGTGCCAATAACTTGGTCCACCTAACCATCTCTTTTTCCGGTCCCCCTTCCTCTCTTTTCTCCCCGAATTACCCACCCCTCACGATTGCAAACTTTGTTACTGGTTGTTTAAAATGCAAAAAAATTAAAAATTCCTTAAAGGAGGCACCGTTAAAGCATAACTGTGTTCTTAATGGTTTAGAATTACACCTAAGCTACCCCCAAACTTTTAAATACTCAATAAAAGTGTTTTTATGGTGACTTCTTTGCCGAAATACATTCTCCCCACCCACTCATGCATGTCAGAAGGTGAGCAGGGAACACCTGGGGAGCCCTTCCAGCTCTGCCTGTAGCCCCTCTGCCGCTTGCTGCTAGACTGTGACGTGCCATCAGGGCATCTCCGACTTAAGGTGAACCTGTGCATGAACACCCTCTGAAAGGGCCTGTCCTTGACAGCTTTGCTCGCTCAGCTCTTGTAAATTCCAGGATGTGGCTTACATTTTGGAGGCCTTCCATCTCTTGTTAGATCTTTCTCCTCCTCTTCTGCCTTCAGCCTTCCCTGGCATGATGGTCTTCTACAGGGAGTCTGACCTCCCCATGATGTTCCTGAAGAATGACAGCTTCAGCTTTGCCATTTTTGCTTCAGCAAAAAAGTTCTGATTTGATCCCGAATCCACTTCTTCACCTTTTGCTTCATCCAGGGTATTCACCAAGTTCTCTTGCACCTTGTTTCAAACACATCAGCTTTCCTTCTGCTGGCTTCCGTCATGGCCCAGCTTTCACACCTGTATGTAGTGGTTGGGAATATGATGTTGTGGGTGGCTGCTGTGCGTAACCCTCACTTCAGATGTAACTCCCCCCAAACACACGCAGAGGTTTTCTCCAGCAAAACCACATCCTACTGAAATCAAGGAGTCCTTAAGTGAAGCAAGACTGCTCCATTCCAGGACTTTCCCCTGGGCTCTTGAACCCGTGGCCTGCAGGCCAAATCCACCTGGCCTCACCCCTTACTAGCCACTTTTGCATGATGGCTCAGTTTTTGCAGTTCCGTCCCTCTTGTTCTTGAAGTGCTTCGAAGGATCTTGCAGGGCAGGGAGAGCTTAAAAGGGCTATTAGGAGCAGGAGCACGGCTGGCTTCTGCAGCCAGAGGGCTGCGTCAGTTTTCAGTCCAAGCTCCAGGCTACTTTTTGGAGAAGCTGCCAGGAAGCAGGAGCCAATATTCCAGAGGCTGGTGGGGCCAAAGGGGTTAAGCAGCCCCCCCCCCCCCCGCCAATATCTTCTTGCCAGGAATGGAGCCTTAAGAGAGGAGGTTCAAACTTCTAGAATGGGGGAGAATCCTGAACATGGAAACCACTGCAGGATTAGTGGCTGGGGAAAAGCAGAAGGGGGGGGATTTGTCTCCTGGGCCTCAGGGATTATATCTGCACCATTTTCACTTCTTTCTGTTAAGTACCTTCTGTAGGGGAACATAATGAGCAAAGCAGCATGTAGAAACACATTTCCAAACAGCCTTCAGTTCTTTTTTAAAAACAGAATACAGAATGCTTGTGTCTTTCATGGCCCATTCATACATTATTTAAAATAATACAATTTAGTAAAATTGACAAGCAGGTCATGCAAGCGCTTGCCAAAAGCAGTACAAAATTAGACACATCAAGAACTTTGTAGGATCAGTTAAACCACTAAGCGAGAGCTCCAGCCGCACAGCTGGGAGTTGCCCAAGTTCAGAGTCTTTTAAGACCACCGTCTGCAGGGAGTTGGCAGGTATCAGCATTCTGTAAAACAGCAGACCCGTTTAGCTCTCAGGTTATTTCAGCCCCTAGAACAAACTGACCAGCAAGGCAGGTCAGGATCACTGCCAGAGGGGCGGAGAGCTGAGCACCAGTCATTCCTAGGTCTGTGGCTAAGGTGAGATTTGAGACACGCGTTCCTCTTCATGCGTTCAGCTCTCACCACTTGTATACACTAATTTGATGAAGAATACTAACATACATGCATGCTAGTTTTTCAGCAGCAATTGATTCATGAATCCTGGCATTTGTCTGAATCTGGCTACTGCAAACATCAGAAAAGGACGGGCATTCAAAAGGTGGATGTTGAGAATGCCAACATGCCGAATATTACTTACACACATCCTGTAAACAGCTTTACACACGTTAAAGTAAAAATATAATCTCCCTTTATGCCTGGGAGTGGGCAATATAAGGCACTTCTGTAATGGGAAGGTTTCAAGTTACTAGCTCTCATGACAGCCAAGGCAAATTTCTGAATGTGGGACAGCAGATAGGATAAAATTGACAGCAAAGCAGTAAGGGAGAAAAGAAGCCCAAACCTGTTTGGCACAATCCCCTCCAGATTGCAGGGTTCTCAAGTGTTTGCTCAAAGCAGTTTTCAGCACATTCCAGGGCAAGCGCAGTGGGTTTGGCATCCTACATGCTCATTGAAATGATAACATGCAAAGTGCGAATTGCAAGCCATTGCAATTAACAAAACGAGTTTTCCTTTTTCCTCTCTCCTCCTCGTCCCTGGGGGATGGTACTCTCCGGTGAAAAAGTTACTGAACACCCCTTGCTCCTGGTTACCTCAAACAATTATTTAGAGTGCTGCATCTCTTTAAAAATTGCCACAGCAACTTTTACTCGGTTAAGACCCAAGATTACAGTGGCTTAATTCTCATCTTTCCCTGCTCGATCACCTACAGTGAAGTGTGTAGTGCTAGAGCAGGATAAAAATCCCAATTTGGGCTCTTTTGCTTTCCCCTAAACTAACTGGATCTGAACTACTTCTGGCCCCCAAGCGACACCTTTATGTCTGCGAATGGCACATCACGGAGCAAACGCCATCCCTCGGTACATGGCCGGAGAGTTAACTGAGCCACACCTGAGTGGCCTGAAGTGTGCAGTGCAGGCTTTTTTCTCTCTCAGACAGCTGCTGCTTTGCTTCGCTCCCCTGATGGGAACAGAGTGCCTGCCCTGCTGGAGAAATCACAGGCAGGGTGCCAGGCACAAGCTCCAGTTGTGTGCTGCAGCTGGGAGGCTAGCAATAGGCAACAGCCACAGATCTACAGTGGCTAAATTGCTCTTCACCTGAGATCATATTTCTTGTCCCCTAGAGAGTCCGCTTCAAATACAACCATTAGTGTCCGTGGCTTTGCAGACAGGCTGGACGGCATCGGTCTAGAGCGGCATGTTTCATTTCCATCTCACTTTGGCCATCAGGTTCCAACTTCTAGCATCTAAAACACATTCCTGCACACGTCCAGGCAGGAAAAAGTCCTTTTACTATGTCCAACCATGCAAGGGATTGTGCTATTTAGTGTCTCCTTAAAACTGCTGGCAGGTTATGGGCTGCTGGACTATGGGTTGAAGTCCCCTGCAAAGAGAAAGGGACTCTCTGCTCTCAGAAGGTCCCTCTGCCCAGTTCTGGGGGTTCCCCCTATTGAGCATGGTCTCTCTCCACTTTATAGCAGTTCTGTGGGGCAGTGCAGGGAGGAAGTGCGAAGTTCACTTTTAAGGTAGCCGATCCTGCATAAAATCTGGATCAAACCCTTAAACAGCCTGCCACCAAGATACACATGGGTTTGAATTTTTTTGTTTTCCCCTTTCTAAAGCTTTGGATTTGGGAGCTCTCCTCATAGTTACAGGGGGATTTGTTTCGATGTGTGTATGCCCAAGTATTTGGGATTCAACCTGAGAGTCCCTCAAAAGCTTAAGGCTTGTGTGTACATTTCAACGATAAACAAAGCATCAAGAACAGGGAATCCACATCCAGCTAAGCAAGGAACAGGAGGGCTGACCCAAGCATGTGAGAAACAGCAGGTCATCTGGACAATCATTAGCCGTGCGGGTGAGTCATGGTATAAACTTAACCATGGAGCAAGGAGACCTGAGCGGTGGGGCTGTTTCCGAGTTGCTCCATCTCCTCCTTTCGAGATTCTGTCACAAGATTAGGACAGGTCTATCGATGCAGGCCGAGTCCCCTGACCTAAGGGGGACCCACCAAAGTTGCATCTGTTCCTCCTATAGACCTCAGTAACTAATATTTTTCTCTAGGGGGCAGGGGGAAGTACCGCTCAGGAAAAGCAGCTGATGCGTAATTAATTTAGATTCTCAAATAAGAAGCATTATCTAAAAGTAAAACATTCTCCCCTTTCCAGCTGCAAAGACCAGGTCTTTGAACTGTTGTTATTGTTGTTATATATTATTATTACATTTTTAACCTGCCCTTCCTCAAAAAGAAGGAACAACACAATATTTATGGATCTCCCCCACAACCCACTATTATATCCTCACAACAGACCTGCAAGGGAGGCTAGGCTGAAAGAAGAGGACTGGCCCAGAGTTGCCAAAGTAAGCATTATGGGTGGGTGGGGATTTTGGCCTGCCCTCCTTCAAGGCCAAAACTCTCCCCATCATGGGTTCCCTTCTGAGCTTTCTAGGAGCTGGCCATGGTGCTCCATGAGGACGCATCTGGCATCGTAGAAGGCTCAGAATGAGAGCTGCATTGGTGAAGGAGCCGCACTGAGGCAGAGTCACCGACCTCCCCAGAGCATCAGCCCTACAAACAAGCCAAAAGGAAGAAAGCACCCTCCAGTAACCTGGCTGTAACAGAGGCCTACTTGTTCTCCGTCAGCAGCGATGCAAGAAAACTTTACGTCCAAACACCAAGAATGGCCCCAGCCACTGAAGAGCGCCTGTTAAGGCAACAGGCACTGTGCAACCAATTTTCAAACACGTCAGACGGATTATGTGGGGAGGATGGTGAGAGGGAGGCCTCTGGGGTAGAAAGCAGGATGAGAGCAAAACAGTTGGGGAAAAGCTAGGGTGGAAAGGCGTTCTTCTGGCCATACCAGCACCAACAGAGGTATTAGAAGCATCCCCGGCAGGCATAGAGCTGCTGGAATGGCCAGAAACCGGAGGTGGCTGGCAGGAGCGTCTGTTTTTCCCTCACTGTCGGCAGGAGAAGGTGGCCTCTCCACCTGGGTGCGTGTCAGCTGGCGGGAGGAGGAGGCTTGTCCCGTATCATTTCCACAGCAAAACAAGCGAACACACAGAAACGCAGGGCACGCTTGTCCACAACTTCCAGGAGTAATCCAGGGCACTTCTGAATCACAGGACGGACGTCCAAGAAAGCCACATGGATGCATTTCTGCACTTGCCTCGCAGTCCCAGAGACGCAAACGGGGCCCATCCTGCTTTCAGTAGCGCAGGCAGCAAGAACACCCCATGTCTGCAGCCTGGATACTGGAGGAGCTTCGGGGCCCACGGAAATGGCTTCGCCACCATGGCCTGCGCCTTCAGAGCTTGGACCTGGGGCTGGACTGCAGCAGCAGCTGCATGTCTAGCAGTGCTTTCTCCAGATAATGGGCCATGCGGGCCGCGTTGGTGTCACTGCAGCTGTTGAAGGCAGAGATGGCGAAGTTGATGTGCTCGTCCATCGGGTTGTAGCAGATGCCGTAGCCGTCCGGAACCACGGGGCCGAAGCACATCACGCAGTCGGTCTTGGCCGGAACCTGCAGGGAAGTGGACGGAATGAGCCGCTCTTCAGAACATCTTGCAAGCAAACCCCAAGCCGAATGGGGCTTTTCTCAGAGACACGCAGCGCAACGGATGGGATTTTTATCTCACTGCACGCACCCCCCCCCCCCGCGAGGAACCCAAGGCTTTTCCACAGCCCTCCTCCTCTCTTCTTTAACCTTCAGGAACAGAGACAAAGGTTGGCCCAACGTCACCAAGCGGGGACCTAAATCCAGTCCTCCCGAGGTCCCATCCAACGGTGCTACCCCGCGCTAGCTCTTGCTCCTGAAAAGCCAATATTCTGCTGTAAAACCCAGGGTGCAAAACCATGGCTTGGGGACCACACGTGGCCCGTCAAGTCATTTCTGGTGGCCCGCAGCGGGTGGCCCGGAGAGCACGAGTGGGGGATCCCCAGGCTTGGGGATCTCCCCCACGTGTTTGTGTGCCTGGGCCTGTGCCGGCCCCAATCCCCACACCATGTGGCCCTCGGGCCTGAAGGGTTCTGCATCCCAGGCTGGCGCCCTTTGGCTGCACAGGTGGCTAGGGCTGATGGAGATTGTAGTGCAATACAGCTGTGGGGTGCCAGGTTGGGGCAGGCTGATGACGGCAGGAGTGGGCAGAAAGTAGATTTCTGGATGCTTCGGATTTCAATTCCCAGCATTGCTGTTTGTTGGCCGTCCTGGTTGGTGCCTTCCAGACTAGACCCTTGCTTTGGAAAATAACCAAGAGCAGGAAGAGAGGTCGCCAGGCATTCAAAGCGCCCCGGGGTTGCTCGGCGCCCACTTGCCTGGCTCGTGGAGAGGTTGAAGTGCGTGGCGACGGCATAGGCCGTGTCCATGAAGAGTTCGGGCATGCTGACCAGGTCCTCGATAGCCTGCAACTTCAAGCCCAGGAGGTGGCGATCGATGGCTTCCCCTCTGATTGCCTGAAGGGAAAGGCAAAATCCAGGCAGCTGAACATGGCAGAACAAAAACCCGGGCTGGATCCAGGGCTTGCCTTCCGTGGGGGGGGGGGGCATCCGTGGGGGCTCTGCTCATGCAAGCCCCTCCCCCCATGAACCCTGCAGTCCACTCTGTTCTGCAGGGTCTCCCGGCTTCTTGACTTGGTTCAGACCACACCGGAACCGCCACTCCGGCATTGTGGATTGTTGCTGAACTGCGGGTTATCGTGTTGTCTGAGCCCAGGGAAGGTAGCAGTTCGTGGCTTGCCAGCCACGGGCAATCTCACGAAGAGGACTGTGGCTGGTTTGTGACTGACGGGATGCGCCCCACGCAGGGTGCAACAAAACACCCGCTTCTCCAGGTGGGTTTCGAGGGGAACTCACCATGTCAGTGTAGGCCCGATGGGCCTGGGTGGCCCTCCTCAACAGCTCTGCCTTTTCCTGCTCCTGAGGAGGAGATGACCAGAAAAATGTCAGTGTACCTGCATTACAAAAGCCCATCAGTACGACTGTTTCTTACCCTTCCCGTTGGCTGAGCTGGCTGTTCCCCAAGCAGAGTAGGACCTGACTCACCACTAAGGCTAACCATGGTTTACTTCCTGGCTCAGTGGCTTGGTGGCTTCTTGCCCCTTGGCCAGCTCCCTCCCAGGGTCCAAATGCCCGCGTCACTGCAGCCCTGGCAAGGGAAGGCGTTACAGGGAGTTTTGGGCCATTCCTGTCCACAGCTTCGGTATCCTGACAAAGCAACCCCTGACTGGATTCACATGTGACCCATGGGTTAAACCACCCGGAGTTCATAACTGAACAACAAACTAGGAGTTCTCTCTCTGGGTTGTCTTTGAGAAGCAAAGTATGGTTTGCTGGTAAGCCAGCTTTTGCACATCAAGAGAACATGGACTTCAACAGCCCGTGGGTTAAATGAACCATTGCTTAGTGTGCGAAGAAATCAGATCCATGTCTTATGTAAATCTGTTTCCTGTAAAGTGCTAATCCCATCTATTTCAAATGACTTCTGCAAGAGTGTAGAAACAGCAGCAAAAGAGGAGGGAAGAAAAGGATGAAAATGTGCAGTTGTAATTTTTGTGAACTACCCAAACAGCTTTGGCTATTGGGCAGCACAGAGATACGAGACACAAAATGACGTGAAATGAACATGGCAGAAGGAAGGTGCCAGAAAAGTCCTTTACAACCCCAATCCACCCTCAGAGCATCTCATCAGACATGCAGCTAAACAATCTTCCAACCTGTTTTCAGAGTCTAGTTCTTTTGCTTAATTTTTCTCCTGGTTCACCACCACCTCCTGATTAAACAGATCTGGTAGGCCTTTCCCTCCTCAAAACCCACACAGAGATCCTGCCTTGTGCTCCGCTGGAGAAGGGGGGTGAGGCCAGGCAAACGAGGCTGTCCATGGACCCCAGAGGACTGGGCTGGGAGCAAACCCTGCAAGCCGAGCCAGGACCAGCAAAACCAGGAGCACTTCTCCCACCTGCGTGCCAGGGTCATCCATGGCTTGCACGAACTTCAGAGAGTCCCTCGAGGCTGAGCGGATCGTGTCTGTCCGGCCCAGGCGGAACATCCGGAGAGAGGCACTCTCGTAGGTGGCACAGCACTGGCCGTACATCCTAGGAGGAAGTGGCGGGAAAGGGAGCCGGATGGCCACCTGCAGCCAGCAGAGGGCCCGGCTCTGAAGCGACCCCCTCGGGGCCTGCGGAGTTTTGGAGTGCTCTGTTCCGCAGCGCTTTTGCTTTCTTGCTTAGAGCATGGGTGCTGAACACCTGTTGGTCCGAGGGCCACATCCCACTTCCAGGATGCTCTTGTGGGCCGCACGCATCCAGGCAGTGGCCATGGCCAGAGGACGTGGCCAGGCCGTGGTGCCGGCCCGTTTGAGCTTCCAGTAAACCAGCCCTTGGAGGGTCATCAGGAGCCGGGAAACTCCCACGCTGCTTCTTGGATGGGGAGGCGGGGAGGGTCTGAGGGAGGGGCATGGCCATCAGGTGAAGCCTCTGGAGGGCCAGATCTGACCCGTGGCCAAGACTCTGCAGCTGGGGGTTCGGCTGCTCCGACACAGTGCCCTCCAGATGCCTGAACAGCCCCCAGGCACCGCTCGACGGACACCCCGGGTCAGAAAATTCAGAACCGGCTCCAGGGCTGCAGGCTGCCTTCACTGTGGGCCTGAGCCAGAAAGTCACCGCTAACACTCCGGGGACCGGAGGGGAACCGAGCCACGCCGCCTCTTGCGGCGACCTCACCTGTAATAGGCCAGCTGCAGGGCCATCTGGATGAACGCATCCGGGCTGATCTTCATCGCCTTGGGGAAGCTCTTTCCAAACTGGTGGAAGACGATGGCCTTGATATCCAGGTCCTGCACCATTCTGCAAGGGGGCAAGAGAAAGCAGCACCGGTGAGCAGGGCTAGCGGCTGACGCCCCTTTCCTGCCGCCTTGGCTCAGGAGGCCCGCTGGAATGACCGGGCCTTTGGGAGACTTCAGGCTCGCCGCTTCTGATGTCTCATTCAGGATCAGGGTTTGTGCCTTTTCTGGCCAGTGGGCGCATTTAGAATCTGAAGAGTGCATTGTGGGCACTCTCACAAAATGGCTGCCACATGGGTGGACCCTTCCTCATCATAAAATGGCTGCCATGGTAGGTGTAAGTCATTTCAAAACACCCATTTGCTTGGGTAGCGATTCTGAGGAGGCTGCCTGAAGCAGCTGGCCGGCTGCTTATTTTGTTCCTTCCTGCTCTTTTCCCACCAAACATTATTTGCCCTCTGTAACTCGCTCCGCATTACTCACATGTTAAGGTTCTGCTTGGCCTTTTCAATGTCATTCTTGATTTCTGGGGTGATGTTAAACCGCAGCTTCTTTGGCATTGGCAAGGGGACCATGGGCGATCGCACCAGCTCTGGTTTCTTTCTATCGAAGAACGGCAACCACACAGTTAAGCAGAGGTTTGAAAGGAGAGGAGTTTCTGTTGCAAACATTTCCTTTTGGTGCCAACCAGATGCCTTCCAGATGGACCGGACTACAACCCCAAGCATCCCCAGCTGGCCTGGGGCATAACAATGAATAACTGTGATAAATAATGTCGTGTAAATTTTACTCAACAAGTGCAGGAGGCAAGAAACCCACAGCTGGTGCCGAGTTCTGCTTGAGACTGATACCAAAATGGCTCCGGAGGGCCACCCGTTGCCCGCCCTGGACACGAAAGGCCGAGCACAACCCCCCAGTCGGAAAATCGCCTCCAGGGATGAGGCAGCTCTGGGGATCCCTGCCGGAATGATGAACTCTGGGGTGCCTTGGGGGCTTTCACGCCATTTCACCCCCAGGCTAAAATGCCTCTCTCTGCAGGCAAAGTAGCTTCAAGTGGGAGTCTGTGGCCCTGGCCACCCCACCCCGGCATGGAGCGTGGCTCTCGGGCTGCGAGAGCGTCGTTGCCCCATCTCGGCCACCCCACGGCAGCCTTACGTGCACTCCACGACGTGGTCCAGCAGCGCGACGATGGGGGGGCCCTCCGAGGGCGCGTGCTCATAGACCAGGCCGCAGGAGCCGTCCTCGGCCACGATGAACTGCAACGGGATGCGAGGCTGTGAGAGGGGGACGGCCGCGCGGGCAGAGCAGCTGCGGGGAAGCCCGGAGCTCGGCTGCCTCCTCGCCACCCCTCCAGCTCAGCAGGGCTTGGTGGCCCACAGGGAGGGGGGCTCGCTGTCCCGTCTGGGTCCATGCTGGGCTAGAAGGGGGAAGATGCTGCCCCAGAGCAAGGAAGCAGGACCCCAAAGGCTCATAATGGCCTGCCCCTCTTCCCCCAGTGGCTCTGCCCCCTTTCCCCCAGCTGCCGTTCATCTGGGGGTGTCCTGCCCAGCTTTCATGCAGTTTTCCTCCCGGCTGTATGGGGCCGAAGAGCTCCCCCCACCCCCAGCTGCGTTTATGCCTGCGAGAGCTTTAAGCTAAAGTAGGCAATTTTTTCATTCGACGCCATCCGTTTTGCCTCTGAGCCCACTTGCCACTGGAACTGGGCCTGAGAGCTCCTCCAGGATGGAACATGCATGGATACGGGGACATTGTCTCCCCCATTCCTTTTGGCATGCAGGTTCTTTGGGACAGGGTGCTGTTTCTCAGGTCCTCCAAACCAGGGGCCACAACAGAGAAGCCTCTGCCCACCGGTTTCGCTGCCGATAGCGGAGGTGCCCGGAGAAGTGCTGCCTGAAGCCGCCCGTGTCCAAGCGGCTGCTGCAGGAAGAGGGGTGGGGCCCTCCCGGGAAAGGGCCATGCCATGGACCCAGCCCTGCGCCAGTCCCACATTCCCCACCTGAAGGGTTTTGTCGAACCAGCGGTTCCCGCTATTCCAGCGGCTGCCCCCTCCATGCAACATCTGGGCTGCCACGCGGCTCCTGTAGATGTCGTCCGAAACCCGGGGCATCGGCGCATCCAGGCAGATGGTGAAGATGCTCTTCTCGATCGAGCGCACGGACTCCTTGTTGATCTTGTCTGGGAAGGGACAAAAATGTGGCGTGGGCAAAGCACGCAGACCTTTATCTCCGAGGGAGTCGAGGGGGCTGGTGGAGCCCCTGCTTTGCGGCAAGAAGGGCCCCAGTTCAAAGGCAGCTGGGAAATCCCTCGCCCGGAACCCTGCGGAGCTTGGCAGGGATGCCCGGCACACAGACTGAGATGGACTGCAACGGGTGCATCAAACCCCTCGGAAGGCCCGCACCGTTGCTGTGCATCTGTCACTTCAGGGGCCTGGTGCTACGGCAGCTGGACAAACAGGTCTGCTGGTCAATACATAGCTAAATGCCACATTCCTGCCTTGGGGGGCCCTCAGAGCAAGCTGCAGACATCACTAAAACAGTAATAGCAGGCTCCGTTGGAAAACATGGATGCACTTGCCAAGACAACACGATGAACAAGATGCGTTCAAAAGCACAGCAGAACAACAGCTTTGACCCGCCTCCAGATATTTTAGACTGTAGTCCTGGCAAATTGACTATGCTGGTTGGGTGTAATGGGGAATCAGAGTCCAAAATATATTGATTGTTTGATTTCATTTTTATACTGCCCAATAGTCCAAAAGCTCCCTGCAGGGGAGCAGACTGGGAGGGCTGGCTTCGACTCTTTCTGAAGCCGGAAAGGGACAGAAGAAAATGAGCCTCCTGGACAAATTCCAGAGGCTGGGTGCCACGACCAAAAAGGCCCCGTCCCACAAACTCAGCAAGTCCCCATGGGAACGGGCAATGCACACAGCAGTGCCTTCCCGAGACGTCGTGGATGGGGCTGCAGCAACCGAGCCTCTCCGACAGGCAGGAGACGCACCTTTGATGAGGTTGTTGTAGGCTTTGGCCCAGCTGTTGCGATGGTTTGTAGTCAGGATCCCAATCGGCTCCTTGTTAGTCTGAAGGGAAGTGTTCCAAATCTTCTCCAGCTGAATAAAGAGCTGGTCGGTTGTCAGGGGGCTGCCGTCGCTGCTGTAGACATCCAGCTCAAAGAACTGGGAGCGGAGGCAGGGGGGGAGGGAGAGGCCATTTGCTGGATTCCACCCTGGAAACCACCATCTGGCCACAGATGCGTGACGCTGAGAAATGCCTGCACTCGGGTCCTCCCGCAACTCCCAGCCCCAGCCCCAGCCCAGGGGCCCGAGGAGGACTCCAGCATGAAGCACAGCCCTCGGGGCCGGGAGATGCTCCAGGCCCGTACCTGGAAGTTGTGAACCACCGTGATGTGCGTGGGCGGCTTCTTCCCCTTGGCGTAGTTCACCACGGAGTCGCGTTTGGGGCCGGGGATGCGGCAGGATGAGAGGATCCGGTAGTACTGGTTCATGCAGAGGGGCTTCCCTCCCAGATACTCCACGGGAAGGGTCTCGCTGGTGGGGATACGGCGAGGCAAACGGGTTTCAGCATCGCTCGGGGGAACTCCCGCCGGACGGCCTGCTCCCCGAGAAAGGCCCGGAGCCGCCTCTCCACCGGGGCACCTGTCCCACTCCGAAGCGCAGCCCCTCCTCGCGAGGTCCCGCCCCCGCCCCCCAGCCCAGAGCGCTCTGGCCCACAGCAGCCGCACTAGCCGGCACAGTAGTCCGCACACTTCCACCTCCAGCCGGCGCACACCTTGGGAAACACCCCAACGTTTTAACAGCCCGTGCAGGGACTCAAATTGCTCTGCACTGCAATGGGGAGCAATCTCTTTGTCCCGGAAATTCACCCTGCTCCCACTGCTGCCACAGGCTCCGGGGCTTGGGTTTCTGTCCAAGCGGTGGACTCCGCGGCAGGCCGCTCGCTTCCAAGCTGGGCGGATCTGCAGACCTGTGTTACTTTGGGGCGGGGGGTGGGCTTGGCGGCATTCTGCTTGTTGGCAAATGCCCACCGGGCTCACAGAGGGACACAGACCTCACGGGGAAGGCCTGGCTCCACCCCTGCCCGGATGAGGGAACGACGGCACCTGGCAATCTGCAGGTGCGGGCAGGGCAGGTTTCTTGGAGCCTGTGGCAGAATCCCTCCCCACAGTGCCGCTCGGGGGGCGGGGGGAATCGCGAGGGGGCAGGGGCAGAGGGCATCACTGACTGGACTGTTGGGCAGTTGCCACACTGCTGGTGGAACTCACTTATCTATCATAGTCTTGAAATCTAAGGCCCCTTCGATCAGCTTGGCAGCAAACCTGTGGGAGAAAACAAAGCACAGGAGATTTTAAAAACTGGTTGCGATGGAGAGCCAGATACGCCGTTTGTGGTCTTGTGCCCAGGACAGACGCTCTCCTGACGAGGATCCGGACTCCATTCCTTAAGGACCCGGTCCTACCGGGCCCCTGAGGTCAGTTACTTCCAGCCCGCAAGCATCTTGCCACCGTTTCTCACCCAAGTGAGCTTGGAAGGAACTCGTAAGAACCCCTGAAGTTGCTTCCAAGCCAGGCTTACTTTGGCCCATCTAGGCCAGTATTGCCAGCACGGACTTGCAGTCACAGCTCTCTTTGGGGATTCCCACAGGAGATCTTCCTGCAGATGCTGTCGGGGACTCAAACAGATCTTCGGTAGGCAAAGCAAGGGCTTTAGGGCTAAGCTGCAGCCATGCTGCTTAAAAACAACGAGGTTCTAGCCCTCAAGCATCTGATGGACTCTCAGTCTGTCATCCAGTATCATCAGCACTAGCTGGCAGTGGCAGCTCTGCAAGTTTCAGGAGAGGTTTTTCCTGCCTGACATGGAGATATCGGGGACTGGAGCCAGCACGCAGCACCTCCCAGGCCGGCCGGCCTGAGGGCCACAACGCCGCCACTCAAAATACGTGTGCCTGAGCCCCGCTGCCTGCTCGCCACTGCGTAGGTGTGCAGGGCCGCTGGTCAGGGCTGGGTCATCACGCCGCTTTCCCATGGGAATGGCTCCCCACACCGCAGCCGTGGGCACTCGGGGTCGACAAAACAAGCCGGCCTCCAAGGACACCAACAGAGGCTCCCCCCCCCCCCGGTTTTTCCACCCACCGTGTGTGGGGATGAATTCTGAGGGGGTCCCATGATAATATGGGGCTGGGCTGGGCAGGAAAGGTCAACCTCCCCTTCCTGCATGAAGAGCCCCGCCTGGATTGGTGGACCCTGTGCCCCGCTTGCTGCAGCGCCGGCTGGCCCTCGGCTGCCGCGATCCTGGCCCGCTTCATGAGAGAAAGCCCCCCGGAGGCAGCGGGGCCGATTTCCAGGCAAGCACGCCCCGGCCACAGCCGGCCACGGCCCCGGGACCCACACAAACGCTCCCGGAAGGGCCGTGGCAGTGGATGCACCCGAGGCCGTCGCCGTCAAGGACACGCAAAGGCCCTGGCTGTGGTTCGGTGCCCCAAAGGCTCGGGGGCCGATCCTGACCCGGGCCGCCAAGCTCGAGCCCTTACACCCGCTTGGCTGAGGGGAAAGGGCTTCTCCTCCTGTCCGGCTGCCTGCTTGGTCTTTTCTCAGAGTGGCTGCTATTTTTAGTCCCGGCCCTGAGAATGCCTGAGAGGCAAAACAGAGGCCAGCAGGAGAGCGGGGAAAGGTGACCCTGTACAAAGTTCAGAGCTGCCGCCTCCTCCGTGGGCTGGAGGAGGGCACGGAGACCGGACCGGCGAGTTGGGACAAAGTTCTGTGGCGAGGCAGCCCATTTGGTGGGGCGGGCCACCGGGCGCTGTCCTCCTCCGCCAGCAGCCTCTGGCGCTCACACCGCCGCCCTCTCCATCCGGGCTGCACCTGCTGCCCTTGTGCCGAGCTTGCTGAGGAGGCACGTCGAAAGGGGAAGAGGAGGAACTTTCAGGGCAGGGTGAAACTACAATGTGCTTCCACGGGCGTCTGGATACCCGTGCATTTGGAGGGTTTTCAAAGGGCACTGGGCCAATTCCTGGTACAAAAGACCATCCAAGGCTCCTAGTCCTGATGGAGGGATCCGCCTAGAGTCCATCCAGTCCAGTGTTCTGCTCACAGCAGCCACCCTCTCACCCATGTTCCCCACATGGCCACCACCTCTGATCCTGGAGGGTGTACCCAGCCATCAGGACTCGGAGCCATGGACGAGCCATGGACTCGGAGCCATGGACGAATTTCAGGAAATTTCTGCAGGCCCAACAAGGGTGCCCGGCCACCACCGCTTCTGTGAGGATCAGTTACCTGAGCTGCCCTTGCCGATCCAGAAAATCCTGTTTTGGCAAGACGACGCCTGGACTGGAGTGCACGACCACTGGCAGGCGATACTCCAGGTATGCTGTGTTCAGCCACCAGTCTGAGAGCTCAGTTGGAAAAAAGCACACATTACCAATTAGTTAATTTCTTAAAATCCTGCTGCTTGGCCAAACCATGGACTCCTGGAGTGGTTTGTAAATAATCAGTTAAAGAAGATGGACAAGGAATGAAGGATACGGAGTGAAGAGGAAAAACAGTAAGTACGCCTTCGGTCTGGAGAGCGACGCAAGCCCCCTGCTTCATTTAACAAGGCTCCCAACACGAAAACAGAATCAGCTTCAAGTACACAGGTGCAACTGAAGTTTGGGTTAAGGATTCCCCTATTAGAAATCTGTAAGTACCAGAACTTTAGCAAGGCCGGCTGCCTTGCGACCCTGCTGTCCGCCGCACTGGCTGAAACGCCGCTGCAGGGCCCGATCCCCCGAGATGAGCTGCCATCAGCCCCCTGAACCTTTCCAGCAGAGCTTCTTCTGACATCCAGTGCGCCCCACTGCCCTGTCCATGCGCCCCCTTTTACCAAAGGGGCGTCCCTGGGAGACAGGGCCCTCCAACGCCCGGAGAGGGGTTCTAGAGCCTAAACATATCTGTCGGCCGAGGCAGATGTGGACCATCCCTGCACTTACCCAGTTCTCATGTTTCCGGGCTCTCCGCTCCAGCCCCTTCTGCAGCCGCTCCCCAACGCCACCCACTTTGCGGAAGTCTTGCACCAGCGCCCTGGTATGGCTCAGTTCCTCCTCGCTGATGATGGGCTGCAGAGCCAAGAGGTACCGATCCAAGGTCTGCTGGAGGGGTGGCACCGGAAGGCGGGGCAGGCCCTCTTGGTGAGCGAGGTATCGGCCCGGCAGCTTCCCCAGCGCCACCGGCTTCAGCAAGCTCGCCGACCTCGCCTGCAACCAACCCACAGAGGGCGGGCATAAGGGTCTGTTCCTGGCAGCACAATCCCACACAAGGGCAGAGCGGGGTCCCCCCAGGGGCATTTCGGAGGCCTTAATGGGAACCTTTACAGTTCAGATGGGCCCATGGATGAATAGTTCTCCATGTTAAAAAATAGTAATAATAAATGTCTGCAGGTAGAAACCTAGGGAGGGGGATTCATGCAGACAGAGGGGCTCATTGAGCAAGCACTGAAAGGTGCAATTCCGAGCCAGTTTAGACAGACAGAGGGCCTGCAATTCCCAGCAAGCTGCAGGCCTTCGTTCTGTCTGAATACACACAGGACTCCACCCCAAACAGCCTTGGGTGGCTCCCTGGATTGTTAGCACAGCACGATACTCGCTCCCCAGGTTAGCGTTCCTCGGGCAATCAGAAGCGTGATGCAATGCAGGGGTGGGATCCCAGACTTTGGACCGAACCACACACGGCTTCTGCATTGCAAAATGTCTGATTAGGACACAACCCAGCATGGTGGGAGCTGGGGGGCTCCTTTCTGCCTAAACATGCACATTTAATTTACAATTATACATGCACATTTACCAGGGAGTGGGACCTTCTTCTCGGTCAACATGCACAGGATTTGATGTTTATATGTTTAGATGCTTATAGAAACACAGAAACAGAGGGGGTCAGGCCATCAAGTCTGACCCCCCGCTCCAGCCAGTTCCACTCAGTCAATCCCCAACATGTGGGTGTCCAATTTTTCCTTGAACACCCTCACCCATGGGGCCTCCCCCCCCCCCCCCCCCCGTGGAAGCCCATTCCATCTCCTAGGGGTCCTAACCATCAGGAGGTACTTCCTGCCATCCCAGCTGAAACCCGGTTCCTTGAGCTTTGCCCCACTGGACTGCGTCCTGCCCTCCACCGCAGGGGGAACCACACCGCAACCCTCTACCTTCACACACCTGTGCGTCACTATAAGACCCCTCGGAGTCTCTCTTCTCCAAGCTGGAAAGCCCCAGCTCCCTCAGTCTCGTCTCATTTGGCATCCACCCCAACCTGGCTGCCACGCTTGTGATCCCGCACTGGACTGATTCCAGCCTTGTTCTGCCCCACTTGTAATGTGGAGCCCAGAACTGGACACTGCTCCCGCTGTGGGCACACCAGACTCTTATAAAGAGTGGCACCTGCACCTCTTATTTATTAATGTATGAATCCCCTTTTGGCCTGAACAGAGCGCCCCAGGTGACTTACAGTTAAAACATACAAGAATTTTAAGGTTTTATTTCTTAAAAAAGCTTTAAAACAGCGGGAAAGCAATCCAGGCTTGTGCTACTAGAGATGAAAGACACATTTCTCCTAAGGTGAAATCCTGCATGGAAATGAGTCCTACCAAATAACCTGGAGTTTGCTTCAGATTTATTTATTTATTTGGGATATTTCTAACCAGATTAAGCACACACAAGCTCAGGCTATAAGCAGAGTCCAGAACCTTTCAAAAGAAAAGTTTAAGCTGGATCTATTAAAAAACCTACACTAAAAAATATTTCCAGCATGAATGCTTTTGTTTTACACAGGAGAAATGATCAATTCAGCAGCTGAAAAGTGGGCCCATTCCAATTTTAATAGACTATATATTTAGTTTAACTAACTAAAGCTGAATTATTTCATAGTTATATAATGCAAGAAGTGCCCAACCACAAGGACTTGTAAAGAATTTAACGCATCCATGTTCATTCAATTTCCTCTTAAACCAACTTAGGGCATGCACATGGTGGGCATGTCGTGAGCAGAGCCGGCTGGAGCTGGGGGTCAGACTAGATGGCCCGGGAGACCCCTTGCTATGTTTCTATGTTATTTCACGGAGTTTAAAAGTACATTTTCATCCATCATCAGAAAGATGTAGGTAACACTACAGGTCTGCCTTACAGAATGGATAGGTGAGGCAATAAACCCAATAAAGCACAGTTCAAATACATGATCTTGCTTTGGGGGCTTTCCTGCTGCTGCCGTTTGCTATATATTCTCCCTGTCTCATCATCCCTAGCAAAATGGGGATAATACAGTTTATGTCTTAAGCTTGTAACAAGGATCAAGGCCACATTCCTGAAAAGCACATTTCAAACGTTCTAAATATAAATGCTTAATAATATATTTTTGAATCCACCTTGCCCCTCTGTCATCCTTACAAGGATAATACAGGTCGACCTTACAGGGCTGTTGTGCGCCTTTTGAGGAATAAATACCCGAATGCTGCTTTCCTGCCAGGCTGACAATAATACGGGGGCCGGATCCAGGAGGCTTGGGCTGACCGCGCCCCGACAGAGGTGGGCTCCCCGTTCCCCGGGAAAGCGCCCCGGCGAGCCTGCCGCCGGTCCGGGCTCCGAGGGGAAAGCTCCCTGGGGCGCAGACCTGCGAGCTCGCGGCCTCGCCCCGAGCCAGCGGAGGGCCCTCGCGCCGCCCCCGCCCCCGGGCTGCTCGCCGGCTGGGCCACCGCGCCGCGGGCCCTGCCCCGCCACCTGCCCCGCCAGGCGCGCCCCGGCTCCGCGCGGCCACTCACCATGCTCCGAGTCGCGAATGCCAGCATCCTCCGCGAGCGGCGGGCCTGCGAGCAGGGCGGGCCTGCGAGCAGGGCGGGCCGGCGGGCAGGGCAGAGGGCGCGGGTCCGAGGGCACCGTCCGCACGGGCGCCCGGCGGCAGGCAGGCAGGCTGGCTGGCCTTGGCAGGGCCGCGGAGGGCGGGGCAGGGCCCGCGG